GTTTATCTTTCGGAGCAGCAAGGAAAACATTTACCAGTTTAAATGTTAGAGGGAGGTCAGGTTGCAAACACAACATAGGATACATTTAGGGCGCTGATCCGATTTAGCCATACGTATAAAAACAAGTGTTTGCGCATTATCGAATCAACAGATGGATAATATAATTTTTAATGTCAAGTAACTTTTTCTTTACAGTAGTCACGGTGATTACATTCTAAAAAAAAAAACCCAGCAAAAACTGAAATCCACGAATTAGCCAGCATTATCTTTTACAGTTACGTTTTAAGGCTGTAAAACTCCTCACTGCACACCTTATGCATTTTTCTCAGACAGGCATTAACATTTTCACACTTTTCTGTCTTGTTTAAACAATCTCGGTGTGCTGTTAAAAACAGCATGCACATTCCGCAAAAGGTAAGGATTGTTTTCAGGAGTTTTTAATGGTCATGTGGTGAGAAGACACACCGATCAGGTACGTCATGGGCCGTCCATGTCAGAAACAACAGCAGAACAGGTTCTGGTAATGTCACCTGTCCTGGAAAAAAACATCCCAGCAGCAACTGAATCTGCAGGCCCCACAGACTTGGACAATCCAGTGGCAACAGCATCGCTGCCTGAGGTAGCAGAGGTAGTGCCGGCAGGGGAACAACCTGAAGTGAGGAGATCGCAGCGGAGCATGAGGCCTCCTGCCTGTTTGAGTGACTGTTCTTAGTTAGTTGTGAGCTCCACAGAAATAGGGCAAGAATGCACCCTGGAAGCTCGCGGGGATGAGGTGGTACACCCAAATTCCCTAGTGAGTCTTGTATGGTTCTTGCTGTAAATTACATCAGGTCTGCTAATGGAATTTGTGTGTGTGTGTGTGTGTGTGTGTGTGTGTGTGTGTGTGTGTGTGTGTGTGTGTGTGTGTGTGTGTGTGTGTGTGTGTGTGTGTGTGTGTGTGTGTGTGTGTGTGTGTGTGTGTGTGTGTGTGTGTGTGTGTGTGTGTGTGTGTGTGTGTGTGGTTTCTAGCTTAAGGGACTGATGTTATTTTTCAACTTGCTTTTTCTGAAAGGGGGGTGGGGGGTGCAGTAGTTGAGGTAGGAAACTACTACATAAAGCCTCTAGGGGGAGCCAGTGCTCCATTCTTACAGGGAAGTGTAAGCAGAGCTTCCACGGTTGGCTAGTTGCTCTCTGGTGACAACGTCACCAAACAACGTCCAATAAATAACCTACTCTCCGGGATAGGGCTGGGCGATATGACCTAAAATTAATATCACGATATGTTGAGGTTTTCACCTCAATAACGATAAATGGACGATACCTACGGGTACGCACAGAAACGAACTAGTCCACTTGATGGGGCTGTCACGTGTATTACATTGAGTCACATTTTTACGTGACTCAAGGTGGTACAGCTTCTTAAAGGGACTTGAACGTTGCCAACCCACACACATCTTTTCATTTTTTTATTATCAAATTAATTGCCATGGGAAAACTGATTAGGGTCAGAAATTTCGATAGCGATAATTTTTCGATTTATTACCCAGCCCTACTCCGGGATCATCTTGTTGCTACCAGAGAATATTACATTGTCCCCACAAAAACACAGCTGGAACACCGAACGCCGATGATTCTATGGCCATAGCAGCACCGCGAAAACAACACAACCAGATGCGTCGCTCCGTTTGTTCGGTTCGGTTCCGGTGTTGTGCCAAAGTAGTTACCCCCGTCAAAATTTGTTTCCCCATTAGTTTCGTGACATTGTAATGTGCCACGTGGAATAACCTGCTGGGAATACTTTGTATAGAAAAATACTTTGATACTATAATACTGTAAAACCAGACGTGATCATGGAAACACATCGCTCTCCGGTGAATTTACACTCGGTTTACACATTGTTTTTGTTGGCGTTGCTATCACGAAATAGTTTATTTGCAAAATCAATCACAGTATAACCAATAACTACAGTAATGTTGCAGAGGGTTTCTTAAAAAGTTAAGGAGGGATACAGATTTTATCAGGCTGTGTGGCACCAGCTGCCAAAATGTGTGCCCCCCAATCTATAATTCAATTCAATTTTATTTATATAGCGCCAAAATCACGACAAGAGTCGTCTCAAGGCACTTCACATAATAAACATTCCAATTCATGTCAGTTCATTAAGCCAATCAGAAATAATGTTTCCTATATAAGGAACCCAGGACTTTGGATAAAAATGGAAGGTTAGGTATTGGTCTATAATTCATTGGGTCATCTGGATCCAGAGAAGGCTTCTTAAGTGAAGGTTTGATTACAGCTAGGGATGCACCAATCAGGTTTTTTGCTGTCGATCACCGATACTGATATCAAAGAATGCTGATCACCGATACCGATCACCAATACTGATCACGTGGATTGGCCAGAAATTTTCCGCAACATTATAATGAGTGCTACAAACTACATAATCTGGGAATAAAGGAAATGTAACCTAATCTAAAATGGTCTGTATTAAGGTTGTCACGGTGTGAAAATTTAACCTCACTGTTGTGACCAAAACTACCACGGTTTTCGGTATTATCGCGGTATTTTTTTTTTTAACGTGCTACATTTTCACACAATTAAATAAACCCTGTATGTCAGGAAATATTGTCCTCAGTTTGTGTCTAAATTTTGCCTAAAATGTGTTATTTTGTAATTATGTTGTTTATTTGTTTACATTTTCCCTTTAGTCTTTAAAATACCAATATTTGCCCATAACTTCTTATTTTATGTCTGTTTGATGTCATCATTTTAAAAATATTAGATCAGATGATACTCAGTACTCAAGTAGCCTTCTAATCAGATACTTTTTTACCCTTACTTGAGTAATAATCCCTATATCAGGAAAATATTGTCCTCGGTTTGTGTCCTTCCAGTGAGCTTTGCAGATGTGGGGAAATGTCATCAGGCAGTAATCATTGTTAAATGCATAATTATTCTCGGAGAGAGACCAACTCTTATCTGCCCCTGGGAGCCCCGTAATGCATAGCGTCATTTCAATATGGGGGTGTCCGCGACACGGTTTATATGCAGGTAGCGGCGCTGCGGCTGCTTTATATAGCGACTCGTTGCGTTCTCCCTCAACCCAAATCCTCGGATCACGCATTTTAGCTAAAACGCTAACGTTAGCTTGCCTTGCGTTGACTGTAGAGTTGTGGGTGATGGTCACGCAGATGTGTCATGAGATTTGAAGTGTTGCTGCCTTTCACAGACACTTTTTCTGCATGTGCTGTAAACAGGACAGCCGTCTTCTATAAACTCCCTCGGCATTCTTCAAATGTCCAAAAGATGCCCGTACTTCCGACTTTGTCTTCTTTGAGGGATAAAAAAATGTCCTCCTGAGCGCTGCCGTCTCCTCCTTTGACCATTATTTCAGCTTTAGCTTCAAGAAAGTTTTGGTTGTAAACAACAAAGCGCGCATTTGCCGCCGGCAACTTCAGCAGATGATACGGTGGCTGGTAAGGGTCACCGCGCCTACACCGCAGCCACGGTAAACCACCGAGATAATATAGTTTTTTTTTTTAAAACAAGACGGTTATTATTATTGTCAACTCTTTTTTTTTACCGGGGTTTACCGCTACACCGGTTACCGTGACAACCCTACCTGATCGGTCTGCTTTGATCTATTTTGAAAACTCCGATCAAAACAGATAGGGGCGCTATCGGCCGATTGGGATCAAATGCCGGTCCATCGGTGCATCCCTAATTACAGCAACCTTAAAATCCTGTGGTACATATCCATTTACTAAGGATAGATTGGTTACTGCCCCAGTCTAGATATAATCAAAGGAAATGCTTCTTTAAATAATTTGGTTGAGATTGGATCCAAAGTGCAAGTTGAAGGTTTAGATGAAGCTAATAGTTTTGATAACTCTGAAAGCTCAACTGGATCAAAACGGTTCAAGCACATATGAGGTACTACAGTATAGTTCTAGAGTTCTACATAATGAATGGGGAAACAATTTTTGACGGGGGTAACAACTTTGGCACAACACCGGCATTCCTCCTCTCCTGCCCCTGTAACTTTTGAAACCAGGAGATAATGATTTCCTTCCCAGCAAGGACAATTTTCTCGTAGACACAAATTGTTCAACAATTACCGGCACAGCTAACTTCTTCAAACAACGGCCGGATCCGGACCCTGACTGGTTCTTTTCTCATGTAGCCCCACCTCTCCCAAATGCTGATTGGTTCTTTTTTCCGTTCGCCGGTCTTTATCATTTTCTGATTGGATTGTTGTTGATGTCAATTTTTGTTGTCGCCTTTTATTTATTGAGGGGAAAAAAGTTGCGAAGGGTGAACCACGTTAAAGCGAAGGACTATTGGAGACAATTTCTAATATTCTGTTGAGTTTTTCTTAGTTCAAAGATAATATAAAAATGATCATTTAAAAATGTATTACACAATGATCTGTTAGCGGGCTACTAGATATTAGAGAGTTACGGTCATATTCTGCTATTGCACCGCATCGAATCCAACGATCAACTCTAGAAGAAGTTTCCTCCACGTGAAATATCTTCTGTCCTTGTTGTGTAGCCTCCATACATCTACTAGTCTGTCCTGTGTCATGACCCTCCTATTACTTGGTTTAATAATTATATCTACTTGGCCGTCTATCTAACCATTCATCTGGAGCTAAGGTAGTCACCTCCCGCTAAAAATGGCCTATAAAGTGTTTATTTTCAAATGTATCATTAAGGTTTGTGATTTGACAGAGGAGATATTTGTTTTTGTTCATTTTATGACGGTTATGAATTAAAACCACTCATCTGTATTCATTACACACACTACCCAGTGTCCTTCTACATCTGTTCTTACTGATTAGATTTCTGTCTCTTATTTGCTGAGACTATGGCTGCCGCTTACGACTATATTGATAGTTTTAGGTAATCTTGTGAGGACCCTCTTTGAGCTGATGGAGCCCAGGTTGGGTACCACTGCTCTAGGACAGCAGTCACTGTGGATCTGTTTAAACCAGCGTGCGATTTCTGTTTGTGTCTCAGCCAGTTCCTGCAGGCCCATCAGATCTGGTTTCTATGGCAGCCAGGAGACAATCTAAAATTGAGCGGTATCGACAGAGGAAAGAGCTGGAGGCCAAGTTGTCAGAAGTACGGAGGGTTGTGGACAGTGGACAGGCCGATGATGAAGTCAGCAGAGATTTCTATCTTCTAAACATCCGGCGATGGGTCACTCTGTGTCTGGAGGAAATGGAGAGCATGGACCAGGAGTTGGAGATACTCAGAAACACTGATCTTCTGAAGCAGGGTCCTCCCAGTCAGCCATCCAGACGTCCCATGAAGCCCTTCATCCTCACCAAGGACTCTGTACAGGTGAGTCTGAGTGTGTGAGGCCTCCTCTGCCACCGCCTCCCTATGGTCTACTAATATCTGGCAGTGGAAAGGTAAACTACTGAATGCAGTTGTGTTGTTAGACTTTTGTAATTTGCAAAGACCAAGTTCACTAAGAAACCATTTCTTACAATTTTTGAAAACAATCAGTCACTCTGAGTGTTTAATGCAGGCTGAACATGAAGATAGTCTCCTACACCTATCTCCTGCATTAGCCTCTGATAGAAAATAGACGATGAAACTCTAGATTAGAAAATCCTGACAGATCTACATCCCTTAACATTCATGGACTCACCCATCTCGACTCACGATGGGGAACGCTGTTGTTGGTTTAGCGTCCAGGAAACAGCAGAGAACGTCTCGGCTAACAGAAGCGAACCATTAGCATTAGCAACTCCACCACACAGCAGAACTCCTCCAGGCCTGTGTTATTTGTGGAGATAAAACATCAGCGTTGCAGAGCAAACAGAGTCAGTGGTAGAGTCGTGTTGCTATTAGCCAATCAGAGAGGAGATGTCAAAATATCAGGAAATAAAGAGTCCAAACCTGCCGTGTTCTGCCTGCCACTCCTCTGGCCCACTTCTAGCTCCTGAAACAGGAGCACCAGGGAACACATTCATTCACTGCAGATGTGCTGAACTCAGTCCTTAAATATATTTTTGTCCAGAATAATGAGGAAAAATACTTTTTAACAAGCTTGAATGACGAGTCTTGTAATGCTGCTACGTTTTAACTTCCTTAGTCATGGTTGCTAGGTGACAAGATGTATGCTGATTTAGGGACAGGATTATAAATGAAGGCTAGACCATCCAAATTCACACTTCCAGTCTTTGAGGTCGAGGAAGGACCCGTCCTACGTGGACAGGGTAGGACGAGTCCTCATGAGAGTCCTACGTCTGAGAGAGGGAGGGAGCTAGCGTTAGCCACTCTAGCCTATCCTTTCTATCCTAGTTCAGGTGGTGATTCTGCTCTGCTCTGCCAACAGGCTCAGGTGTTTGGAGCTGGTTACCCGAGCCTTCCCACCATGACGGTGAACGACTGGTATGAGCAGCACGCCAAGCATGGAGTTCTTCCTGACATGGGTCTACCCCGGAGGGCTGCCGCGAAGGACAGCCCTGACGCAGAGGAGAGGGACAAGGAGGAAGAGGAGAAAAAGAGTGAAAACGACGACGAGGAGTCTCTTCTAAAAGCCAGAAATTGGGATGATTGGAAGGATTCTCACCGCCGAGGTTACGGGAACCGCCAGAACATGGGCTAGCTGATCCACCTACACACATGGTGTTGTAACATACTTCTGAATGTGAACATTCCTCAGCTTGTCCAACTGTGAGGACATCCTTTAAGTCCCTGAAGCTCCAGGACAGTCGGTCGTGTTCACAGTCCCATCACCTGCTGAAGGAGGGCGCTGGTGTGAAGCTGTTTCTCTCTGTTAACAACACGAGTTAAAGTTTGAAGAAACTATTAAAAAACAAGGCAAATGTTGTGTTGGTCTGGGTGTCGCCTTACTGGATGGGCCTGCTTTTATTTACCTGTAGCTGATTGGCCCAAACATTACCGTGACAATGGAGAAACACACTCAGTATGTTTACATCAGTACATGTATGGAGCACCTAATGTCCCTTAGACCGGCCCATCTAAAATGACATCAGCCTCGGTGCAGAAGAACCAGTTAGCAGCTGCTAACCCTTCTGTGCCGAGCTGCAGTTCAGACTGGTTCTAATGGTTTTCAACAATAAATGAGTTGGTTCTGTCCTGATAAAAAAGGAAAGAATAAAAACTTAACTTTACTCGAGTAAAAATAAACATTGGTGGAAAAGCAGGTGTTGGATATTGAAATGTGGTTGAATAAGAATAATTTTACTAAACAAGCTAATGAACTGATGTGGACGAAAATGGTGGTTCCCACAGAAAAGACCTAGATCATCCTCAAACTGGTACAGGAGCTCCCTCTAGTGGTACACAGGATAAATGCTCGGTGGGCTCATCATAACCTCCACCTGACCTGACCATAAACATTTATCCAAAAGGTGTTTGTCTTGACTGTGCAGACAGCTGCAAGGCCCACTTGAGCCTATTTTTGGTCCTCTTGGTCCTTGGTGATTTATAACTTGTTACTTGGTGCACACTGGAATTCCAGCAGGTTCTAGCTCCTGGTGCCTTCCACCTGACCGGGTGAACCCATACTCGTCTGTGGGTCATTGGTTGATTCTGTGAACATCCTGACCTGTTTCCTTTGGTCTCAGAGAGACAAATGAGTATTGGTCAACTCTATGAGATGGAATTCAACACCAGTGGGTGAGAACTCCACAGTCCTGCATGGATAAACCCAGACCCAACCAGCTAAAGGCTGCAGGACCATCTACTAGTTGTAGATGGTCCTGTAGACTACAACCAGCTGAAGGTTAGAAGGGCTCACAGACATCCTACAAAAACAGATGGTATTTAAAATCTGTAATTCAGGATTGAATTTTACTTAGTAGCTCTATTTATGGTCACTATGAGAAGTCAGATAAACTTTTAAAACATTGATATAATTAATTATTTGTAATTAGTAAACCTTTTTCATCACTTTGATAAATAATTGATTCGGGGTCAGGGTGCTTTTTAACCCTGTTTTATCATGGCAACAAAGAGCTGGAGCCACTTGTGACGTAATGGAAGAACCGTTCCTTTAGTGATCTGAACCAGAAAGTACAAATGTTATATTAACTGCTCCTTTTGAATTTAAGTTTTGAACTTAACATTGTCAAGGTGCCATGTTTGTTTGTAAATTTACTAAAAAAACAAAAAAAGTTCAGTTAGCGTACATATTTTTAGTAAATTTAAACTTGTTCATGTTATGCTAAAACTCCATGATAAAAAAAAAATCTGAACCAGAAAGAACGGATTAGGGTTAGTGCTCCGAACCCGGAAGAACGGGTTAGGGTTGTTCCGTGCTGATGCGCCCTCCTCACCGGCCAGGGGCGCTACAGCTCCTCCCAGCAGCAGAAGAAGAGCCGTCCGCGTGACCCCTGAGGTAACGTTGCTGATAAATATTTCTCCTGACACTTTGAAACTTCTTGAAAGAACCAGAACACAAGTCAGCTGCTGTAGAACCTCTCAGGCTCCTCCATGACTGTAATATCACCAGAGACAGGTCGGTACCGGCTCGGTCCGGTGCTGATCAGATCGACATGTCGCTGTGCTGAAGTCCAGTTCCAAACAGTTCCGCGTGTTTCACATCCCGATTTAAGTTAGAAAAAAATCAGAATCTAACTTTAACCCAGTTCAACTTCCGTGTTGTTTCTGAACTGGTTCAAACTACATCTGACCCGCAGGTCCAGAATGTTCCGGTCCAGTCTGAGTGAAGTTACCAAACTACAGTAAAATAAACAACGTGGAGCTAGAGCGATAGAACATGACGTTTATCTGCTGCTATGTTGGTTTATTTAACATCCAACCATCTGTCATCCAGCTATTCATCCATCCATCTGTCTGTCATTCATCTATTCATCCAAACATACTTCTGTCATTCATCTATTCATCTGTCATCCATCTATTCATCCAAACATCCATCTGTCATTCATCTATTCATCTGTCATCCATCTACTCATCCAAACATCCATCTGTCATTCATCTATTCATCTGTCATCTATCTATTCATCCATCCATCTGTCATTCATCTATTCATCTGTCATCCATCTATTCATCCATCCATCCATCTGTCTGTCATCCAGCTATTCATCCATCAGTCTATCATTCATCTTTTCATCCAAACATCCATCTGTCATTCATCTATTCATCTGTCATCCATCTACTCATCCAAACATCCATCTGTCATCCATCTATTCATCCATCCATCCATCTGTCTGTCATCCAGCTATTCATCCATCAGTCTATCATTCATCTTTTCATCCAAACATCCTTCTGTCATTCATCTCTTCATCTGTCATCCATCTGTTCATCCATACATCCATCTGTCATTCATCTGTCATCCATCTATTCATCCAGACATCCAACTGTCATTCATCTATTCATCCATCTGTATGTCATTCATCTTTTCATCCAAACATCCTTCTGTCATTCATCTCTTCATCTGTCATCCATCTATTCATCCAGACATCCATCTGTCATTCATCTATTCATCCATCTGTATGTCATTCATCTATTCATCTGTCATCAATCTATTCATCCATCCATCTGTCATCCATCTACTCATCCAAACATCCATCTGTCATTCATCTATTCATCTGTCATCCATCTACTCATCCAAACATCCATCTGTCATTCATCTATTCATCTGTCATCCATCTATTCATCCATCCATCCATCCATCTGTCATTCATCTATTCATCTGTCATCCATCTATTCATCCATCCTTCCATCTGTCTGTCATCCAGCTATTCATCCATCAGTCTATCATTCATCTTTTCATCCAAACATCCATCTGTCATTCATCTATTCATCTGTCATCCATCTACTCATCCAAACATCCATCTGTCATTCATCTATTCATCTGTCATCCATCTATTCATCCATCCATCCATCTGTCTGTCATCCAGCTATTCATCCATCAGTCTATCATTCATCTTTTCATCCAAACATCCTTCTGTCATTCATCTCTTCATCTGTCATCCATCTGTTCATCCATACATCCATCTGTCATTCATCTGTCATCCATCTATTCATCCAGACATCCAACTGTCATTCATCTATTCATCCATCTGTATGTCAGTCATCTATTCATCTGTCATCAATCTATTCATCCATCCATCTGTCATCCATCTATTCATCCAAACATCCATCTGTCATTCATCTGTCATCCATCTATTCATCCAAACATCCATCTGTCATTCATCTGTCATCCATCTATTCATCCAAACATCCATCTGTCATTCATCTATTCAGCCATCTGTATGTCATTCATCTATTCATCTGTCATCAATCTATTCATCCATCCATCTGTCATCCATCTATTCATCCAAACATCCATCTGTCATTCATCTGTCATCCATCTGTTCATCCATACATCCATCTGTCATCCATCTGTTCATCCATACATCCATCTGTCATTCATCTGTCATCCATCTATTCATCCAGACATCCATCTGTCATTCATCTATTCAGCCATCTGTATGTCATTCATCTATTCATCTGTCATCAATCTATTCATCCATCCATCTGTCATCCATCTATTCATCCAAACATCCATCTGTCATTCATCTATTCATCCAGCTGTCTGTCATCCATCTATTCATCCATCTATCTGTCATCCATCTATTCATCCATTCATCTGTCTTCCATCTATTCATCTGTCATCCATCTATTCATCCAGACATCCATCTGTCATTCATCTATTCATCCATCTGTATGTCATTCATCTATTCATCTGTCATTAATCTATTCATACATCCATCTGTCATCCATCTATTCATCCATTCATCTGTCATCCATCTATTCATCCAAACATCCATCTGTCATTCATCTATTCATCCAGCTGTCTGTCATCCATCTATTCATCCATCTATCTGTCATCCATCTATTCATCCATTCATCTGTCATCCATCTATTCATCTGTCATCCATCTATTCATCCAAACATCCATCTGTCATTCATCTATTCATCCATCTGTCTGTCATACATCTATTCATCCATCTATCTGTCATCCATCTATTCATCCATTCATCTGTCATCCATCCATTCATCTGTCATCCATCTATTCATCTGTCATCCATCTATTCATCCATCTGTCATCCATCTGTTCATCTGTCATCCATCCATCCATCCATCCATCCATCCATCCATCCATCCATCTATTCATCCAACCATCTGTCATTCATCTATTCATCCAACCATCTGTCATCCATCTATTCATCCATCCATCTGTCTGTCATCCATCTATTCATCTTCATCCATTGAGGGCATTGTTGTCTCAGATAGAAATAAAATGGTAAATTCCCTCAATAATCACTTTATCATGTCTGGTCATGTCTTTGCAACAGCTTCACATGTCTCTGGGGTCTCTGACCTCGACTCAGCTATATGCAATGGTTCCCTCTCCACAACCAACTGCTGTTTTTCATTTAATTGTTTCAGGTAAACAAGGTACTTGAGGAGTTACTCAGGTCAGATCCTCATAAATCAGCCAGACTGGATACTCTTGACCCTTTCTTTCTGAAAACGGCAGCACGTGTTATTGCTATTACCCATCTAATTAATGTGTCCATACAAACTGGTGCATTTCTGCAAGACTGGAAATTTGCATCTGTTACTCCACTCTTAAAGGGGGAGATCATTCAGACCTAAGCTGTTATAAGCCTATCTCTATCTAGCCTTGCCTCTCTAAAGTAATTGAAGTTAGTCAACAAACAGCTAGCTCACTATCTGGAATCCAGCAGTATTCTTACCCCCATGCAGTCTGGCTTCGGAACTGGCGATGAAAGTGTCTCTGCAACACTTAAAGTGCTAAATAACATCATATTTGCCATTGGCTACAGGGATCCAATCTCCTCCCTTTCCGGTCGGCTCATGGGTCCCCAGAAGAACGAAAAAATGAATGCAAGTCAACCGGGCTAAAAACGCTATTAATCCACTTTGCCTTACGCCCTGGATCACACATATGTTGTACTGCAATTAAAATGAAACGTAATGCTGGGTGTTTCCACCACACCAGTACTTTGAGATTTATTAGCATGTAAATGTTCGTAATTAGCATGACTACACACCAGAAATTGGCACATTGCATATGTGACATTACCACAGAATCTCCCCTCCCCTAGCGTAGCTGCTACTTACCACATGGCCAGATTCATGGTGGTTCTTTCCTCCTGTGGGAAGTTTGCTGAACTTACAGCCCTTTTCCCTCAGTCTTCTCCATGTCTGGTTCGATGATGTCACTTTCTTGAAGCTCATTTGTGGTCCTGGACTTATTTTCACACAAAACCTAAAATAGCGTTCCCCCCTGTTCGAAATTAAGGACGTTCTTGGTATCAAAATGTGTCTTTCAAATTCACAGACCTCATATGTGAAATTCATGGCACATAACAAGCGGAATTAGAAAATAGCATTTTTAGCCCCGTTGACTTGCATTCGTTTTTCCGTTCTTCCGGGGACCCATGGTCCGGAAGTAGGAGGGCATGACTTAGGCTCGCTATAAGGAATATTGTGTGGCTGTGTTTTTTGACTTGGCTAAAGCCTTTGACTCTGTAGACCACAATATCTTACTTAACAGGCTCAAACATGTAGGACTTTCCCAGGCATCCGTGGCGTGGTTCAGAAGTTATATCTTAGGTCGTACGCATTGAGAACAGGGGGTTACCAATCTGCTCCTCTTCCTCTATCTATGGGCGTTCCTCAAGGGTCGATACTGAGCCCAACTTTATTCAGTATCTATATTTATAACATTGTTCACGCTGTGTACAGTTCTCATATACATTTATATGCAGACAACACTGTTTCATCACTAGTGCCTCTTTCACTACTCATCATTCTGTACTCACTCGTTAACTGGCCATCACTCCATTCCCGCAGGTTGTTACATTGGTATCAGTTCATAAACAAAACAATCATCGGTAGAACCGTCATATCTTCGCTAATTACTCATCACTCCCAACAACCAGCGCAATTTACGTTTCAGTAACTTAATCTCTACGGTTATTCCCAAAGCTCGCACCTCCTTTGGCCGCTCCTCATTCCAGTTTGCTGCTTCCAACGACTGGAATGAGCTGCAAAAACTACTGAAGCTCACTACCTACATTCCATTATCTACCTTCAATAGTTCATGGTGGTCAATAGTTTCTGATCAATGTGCTTCTGAGTATTAAAAACTGTTTTAGGTCTGTTTTGATTGCTTGTACACATTATATAACAACACTTAATAATAGTCCTTTGAAAGTATGTAAGTAAATGTTATTTATACACTCATCACAGACAGAAAATCAATAAGTGCTTCACATAGATCAAAACAAAACAAATAACATCATGAAATCATAAAGATAAAAACAAAGGTGCAACAGTCTGGAAGGAGCGATCAACTCAACTTTTATATCTGGTCTTTGGAACTTCTAGAAGGTTCTGGTGGGTGGACCTGAAGGCTCGGGTTGGAGCATAAGGCTTTAACAGTTCAGTAATATAGGGAGGAGCTTGACCATGTAGAGCTCTGAAAGTTATAGTCAGGATTCTAAAATGAACTCTAAAGTTAACGGGTAACCAGTGCAGAGACATCAGAATAGGAGTGATGTGTGCTCTTCTGTTTGCTCCAGTTAGGAGCCTCGCTGCAGAGTTCTGGACCAACTGAAGGTGGACAAGGGCTTTTTTGTTAAAACATGTGAAGAGTGTGTTACAGTAATCTAGATGGGAGGAGATAAAGGCATGGAGAACCATTTCAAGTTCATGTTGACACCAACCTTCACAGTTTGGAGATATTTCTTAAGTGATAAAAACAGTTTTGGACCAATGTTTTTGAGTGGCCTTCAAGAAACATTGATTGATCAAAAACACCAAAATTCAATGATCAGACATTCAGTCTTTTCAGAGTTTAACTGGAGGAAGTCGTCTTCTAGCCAGCTGGTGATGCTGATAGACACTCTAGTAATTCAGACAGTTTATAAACTCAGAATCCTTAATGGAGCAGTACAGCTGAATGTCATCTGCATATAGTTGATAAGAGACATTATGAAAAGAATCAGTTATCTGTCCAAGAGGGTGTCTTTATCTTGTATGCTTTTATCGTATCTGTTGTTCTGTGGTGTAAAGCTTACTATGTGGCTGTTGCTGCAGCCTCTTAGTCAGATCGTCATTTTAAATGAGAATGAGTTCTCAGTCCACTCATCTGGTTAAATAAAGGTTAAAAAAACATCTTGTATCCAGCTGTTCATCCATCCATCTGTGATATTCATCCATCCATCTGTCCAGTCCTATGTCAAGTTGTGAGAAGATCATGTTGACATGAGGCTAGATAACTGAAGTGTGTCAGCGTTACCATGGTTACCTATAAGTCTATAGTATAGTATTGATACTTTTTTAAGTGAAGCTTTTTCTGATGAGAGTACTAGCTGGCTTTGGATCTTCTTACCGTTGAGTTTAGGTCTGGACTCTGAGATTGATCTGGACCTTTTTCTGAGGAACCAGAAACACAATCTGTTTGATGATTACTCCATTAGGATTGTAATTGTTTTATTGTCTCTCGCTACTTTAGATGCAAAGAGCCGGTCCATGGGTGTAAGTCGACTGGATGTGTTCTACAGACAGCTTCTCCTCACCAAACTCTTCATTGGGGGATGGGGGAAGCCCGAAGATCTCAAAAGGTACCGAAATCTGAAACATCAGCCCGAAGGACCTTATTGGTCCTCCTTTCAGAGATTTCAGCATCAAATTCAAGTACTTTGTTATTTAAACTAGATTCACACGATGTCATCACCCTGCGGGTGTTTAATCTAACTTCTAATCCACAACCTTTAATCTCATAAAGACATTTGGTAAAATAATTATCATGACATTTCTTAATTTGCTCTTCACCTGTTACACATGAGGCTGAGCCACAACTGTTACCCCTACGATCGGTACCAGTCCTGTCAGGTACCAGATCCCTCAGGTATCAGGCATGTCCAGTACCAGACCAAACACTAGAATTGTTTGTGAGCCTCCAGCCAAATTTTTATGACAATTTCATCTTTATGTCTTGCAGAATCTTTGAGTTTCGAAAGATCATTGGAGACCGAGAGAAATGCAAGACTCTGGTTCCTGAGGACTACCCAGTTTACATAAACAAGGTCCGATCTGTTCCTGTTCCTCTCGCAGTTCTCTTCTAGTTCTCATGGTGATTCTTGTTTGCGCTCAGACCGAGGAACTGGCTGACTGTCACATCCATGATGGCTTCTTCTTCTCCCCTCTGGAGCACTTGGTTCCGGGAATTCTTCCACCAGAGGCGGTCAAAGCCAGGTACCAAACCCCATGGTGTCGAACACCAGACTAGTGTTGCATCAGCTGATTGGGTCCACAATCTTCAGGATGTCAAAACATTCAGACTTAGATAACAACAACAAGTGTATCCATTAAACAACTGGAATTGATAGTCCAATAAATGAGATGTTCCCAGAAGTGGATGAAGTTCCAGCCCACTGCTGAACTTGCGGGATTATTTGGTTGTTTATGTCGGGGCTGCTGGAGGTCAGGGACCCTTCAGAGGATGTCCTGTTCTTGAAAACCCCCATCTCATGAACACCAGTGTAGGTCCCAAACACTGGTGTGTGCACACTGCAGGTCTGAGTGCTTCGGAACCTTCTGTTTTTTGGGCGCGGGCACCATGACAGGCTACTGACACAGGAGAACAACTCCGCATCAGTTGGGACTCGTGTCTCTTTCCTCCTAGAGCACCAGAGCAGCCGGGCGAGCTGTTGAGGGATCACCAACAGGACATGCAGAGCCCAGCTGGAAATCCACCCATTCCCTTACTGTAGACTTCCTCACACATGTTCATTTAATCCTGAGACCAGACTGTCGGCAGGAAGCAGCTGCTGCACGGTTCTTACTGAGGCATGGCTGGATGCAGCTGCACAGCTAGTAGTCAACCGGCCGACTCGGGTCAGAGGATCGTTGGAGGTCTCTGTCTGTCTAAATACAGTTGGTGCTTTAACTCTGTCGCTGGAAGATACCAACCTTCTACACCAAACAAATTCTGACCTCTGGAGGCATCCTTTTTGACCTCCTGTAAAATTCTGGAGGCTGTCATCTTCAGCTGAGATGCTTGAGAAGACAGCATCAGTTTGCCTACAGAGAGAAGTGAGCGACAACCGTGGTACCTCACAACAACGTTGGAGAGACTGGAGAAAAACAACACAAACATCATCTAGCTGACGTGGCTCAGGTTTCAACAGCAACCAGCTCATCCTTAAACATCAGAACTAAGTAACCAGGTTATGGCCTTTTCAACTAACCAGAACAAGGACTCGTCACCTCTGATCATCAGGACCGGCATCCCACAAGGCTGTGTGTTCAGTCCACAGTCTACACTGTCAACGCACCGCACCAACTTTTAACTGAAGAAATGAAAGAAGCGAGCGGAGGATATGCTGATGTTGTGTGTTCTTCGCCGTCTCCACTGAGGCAGAGCAGGTCTACAGTGGGTACACCCACCCCCCCAGACCAATCTCGCTGTTTAGCTAAGATTTTAAATATGAACCTCTCATGCTTTTCGTTGGTTGCGGGTCTCCTTGGGTCAGTCGTCTCTGACACTGGTTTCTGTTTCAGGTTCCAGTTCATTGTTCCTAAGAGGTGGCAGAAGAATCGACCAGTGTGCATCCAGTTAGCAGGAACAGGAGACCACGTAAGACTTGTACCCTTAATTATAACCATTACATGAGACCGACTCTTTCTCCCACCCCTACGGAGCTCAGTTATCGTGATTTCCTGGCGATTTTAAAAGTCTTTGTCGGATTAGGAAAGAGACGAGATGCAGAGTTCAGCTTAGAGTTCACCTGAGTCCATCTTTAGAGTAACATCATGGTTCTGAAGCTGTGGTACGATCCACCATCTCATCCCTCCCCTGATGCCCTTACTGGTGTGTTTGTGTTTATGTCTGTCTGTCTGAACCTTTGTCTGACTTGTGTTTTTTAGTTTTTTTGGCGGCGTCGGACCCTTATGGCCAGGCCCATGGTCAAAGAGGCAGGGATGGGTTCACTGCTTCTGGAGAATCCTTATTATATCCTTCTTCTGCACCTCATCGTCAGCTATCCAAAAACAAACGGTTGTAAAGTCTCTTCTCTTTGCACCATAACATAGTCGTGCACAGCCAGCGCTGCTTCTGCATGCTGCCGAACACCTCAGCTCCATCAGCAGGCTTCACCACCATCCCGGGTTCTCATCATTATGCTCTTTTTACCACACTAGGATCTCTGGATTTAAGGAGAACTTCTACAGCAGGGAAGTCCTGACTCATCAAAGTTACTGTCGGTGAATCTGGTCCATATTTAGTGAACACCACTCTGAACAGCAGTTAAAGGGCTTGTAACCGAGACATCGTGGGTAACTGGGTTATAGGCCGACCGATATGGGTTTTTTTAAGGCAGAAGCTGATACCGATTTTTAAAGAATTTTGTTGCCGATGGCCGATATCTAGAGCTGATTTTTTTTAGGCCCGTATATTTACGTTTTAGCAGCACATTGGATGTGAAATACAACTGAACACTCATTGTGTGTAATATAAACTAAATAAGTCAAAAATATCTTAATATGTATTGAACTTCAAATATAAAACAAACTCAAAGCATTTCTTCAGTCTAGTAATGGCAGCAGGTGGGCACACAGGTGTCTGATTTTTATATATTTTTTATCGGCTGTTAAAAATAATTTCCGCCGATGGCCGTTATAGAAAGAATTTGTATATATCGGCCAGATATATCCGTCTTCCTCTAAACTGGGTTGCTAATCATGAAGATTGATGCGTAAGACTCCTAAATCTCTCATTTTCTCACCTCCCAGAGACGGCCTCCTCCCTGAGACACTTTACAGGTATAGAAAACTATCAGCTTTCATCAATGTGCCAGGAACAATCAGCTGTTACCATTAGCATGCTGCTAGCTCAGGTCCCAGTGCACCATGGTCTGTTTCTACAGATATGCTGAACATCTATCTACTGGATCGTGTGTGAGAACACCGTTGCTCTTCCTTGACTCGTGTTCCACATGGCTATCGGAAACCCAAAGACCAGCTGTAAGTCAACTCTTCGCTACTTGTTTGGTTTAGTGAACAAACTGTTTTAGACGGAAGGTGATCATGTCATTAGTTCTGTCTTTTGATGGAGCTTCAGATTTCACGTGACTAAATATCAAACAAAAACTAACTGTAGCCCCTCTCTTCTGAAGGTTTTGACAGAAGTAGTGTCCTTGTCTGTGTAGGGCCTCATCTAAAAGGCTTGCTGATGCACAAAACAGGGTCTGAAAGTTGCGTGAGTCAGGGGTGATGGCAGATCAGGGATTACCCCTGTAGTCGGTGAGTGGCTGGTTCAAACCCAGGCTGCGCCCTTTGGCAACACCTCACCGTCCTTGCCTGCTGGTGGTGGTCAGAGGGACCGGTGGAGGCAGCTTTGATTACGATGGAAGTTCATCACCATCAGCGTGTTTGAATGGATGAATGATGCACTCTAGTGTAAACCTCTGAGAGGTGCTTTAAGCTAACTCTGACCCTGGCATGAGCTCATTTTGGAGACGGGGAGTCTGGCAGCACAGCCTGCAAGATGGCAAAGTGGTGAATTTTGGCTACACTTTCAGACTTGCACACCCTTGCACACCAGTGGTGGATCTAGCAGTTTGAGGGTCAAGGGCAAAAAAGTCCCGGGGGCCTCTGCAGCTGTTGTTTTGAAGCGTTTTCAAACCTTACTGAGGAAAAGTGCTAGCTCAAGTATTGGACACTTGCTGTTTATTTCCAGCATTTGGCAGTTTGTTAAAAATGATTTACTCTCTTCCTGCTTCTTTATTCACTTCCCAGAACCGTTTGGAGAACTTTACTCCATTTTTTACATCAGACCTGCTCGTCAGTCATTCACTTCCATTGCTGTGTTCATGGAATCGTCCGCTGTAGCCTGGCGACAGGTCACCGGTCACAAAGTAAGATGTCGGTTCAGCGTAATGGTTTTTAGAATGACAGGGTTCATTCATTTTGGAAGAGAATGCATCCTCTTGTGCAAAACGGGGCCCCTCAGCGATTACGGGGCCCTACACAGGAAGGGGTTGCACTGGTTTTTATCCATCGCAGACGCTGGTTTAATCAGGATGCTAACACGAGCAGTTCCACCACGTTAGACCACATGTGCCCTTACTGGTTCATTTGGATCCAACTCCAGTACCAGATTCTCTAAACCAGTGATGTCCAGCCCTGGGCCTCCAGGTCCACCATCCCTCAGGTTTTAGACGTTCTGCTCCAGAACACCTGATTTAGTGAGAGAATCCAAAACAAATGAAACCTGCAGGACTGTACGCTGGGCTGGGTGGGAAGGACGAGACCCTGACTGCTAAAACTTGTCTTATCTGAATGTTTTAGGCGCTCCTGTCTGAAGAACGTGTCAGACCTGTTTGTGATGGGAGGAGCGTTGATCTTGGAGTCGACCGTGCTCCTCCGCTGGCTGGAGAGGGAGGGATACTGGCCTCTGGGAATGACTGGGATCTCCATGGGAGGATATGTGAGTCCACACAGCAGGCTGTTAGCTTCAAACGCTGAACCTGGCAGGGACTGACCAGACTGGTAGTAAAGTTTAGCAAGCGTAGGTGCTTAACCTCCTCGTCAGTAGAAGTGTGGGTGTTAAAGCACCCGCATCCCCACGGGTCATCACCAGTGCCTGTCCAGGTGCCCAGTCCGAGGGGTAAATATTTGTCTCTGTGTCTAGATGGCTTCCTTGGCGGTGACCAACTGGCCCAAGCCCATCCCTCTGATCCCCTGCCTGTCCTGGTCCACTGCCTCCAGCGTCTTCACCACGGTAAGGTACCAGTCCAGCCACAGGAAGGGCATCCTGGTGACTCTTTGCATTACTGGTAGATGTTAAACTATCCTGAGCTACAAAAACTACAGAAAAGGCTTCTAGCCTGGAGACAAGGTCTAGATATGGTTCTACTCTAGAATGGACCTGACCCCTCAGAAAGACCTGCTCAGAACCAACAGGTTAACAAGTCAATAATTACCACGCCGACGTGCACAAGGCCTGGTCAGACCAGGTCTGCATCCTTCTGCATCCTCCACCAGTCCATCCAGAAGTTCTGACCCAATCCTGTCAGGTGTTTTCTCTTACTTGGCCTGGGTTACGTGTGTGCTTCATCAGTCCGGAACACGTAGGGATTCATTTCCTAAGAGCTCAAAACCCCATCCTGACATTTTCCTACTTATGTGTCCTAAAACTCAAACAGACCTTCATCCTCACTGTGTGTGTGTGTGTGTGTGTGTGCGTGCGTGCGTGTGTGTGTGTATGTGATGGAAATGAAGAGTATTACAATTTAATTAATGACCAGAGATATTAATGATCCATACCTGGCATGGGTCCCATCTCTGGACCTGGGCTATTTAAATCAGAAGAGTGGTTCTTTTTATTACAGGGAAATTAAATAAACACTTTGCATGAACTGAGAGACAAGAGAAGAGAGAGAGAGAGACCTCAGAACGTTTAAGCAAAATGTATTATCTAAATTATTTTAAACAGTTTAACAGGACTAACTCTCTAGTGATGGATGCTGATGGAATGAATGTGAGGTGGAGTGTGTGTTGGTGCGATGTCAGTTCAGAACCTCTGTTCTGGAGAAGCGAGTCTGAGTGGGAGATGATGTTTTGCTCCTAACTGATCAACTTTGAACCGTGGTCAGAAAACAACATGAGACGCCATCTGTGCCGCTCTACATTACCCGTCAGTGAGACCTCCGTCTTAGATCAGGCTGCCAGGTCCACGGACCCTCCTCTGGTACTGGAGCCGATGAAACAGCGTCTTCAGCACGACAAACCAGTCTTTGGATAGTCTCCAGGTAAAAGCGACAGGTGTTTCGCAGCGTCAAAAAGGACCCCCCTTTGGGTCAGCGAGTTCAGCTTTGATTCTGAAGGAACCGTTGTTTTGTTGATAACAATGACCGGATTTCCCAGCTTGGCAGTTCTCAGCTTAAAAGTAAAAAGTACAGATGGCCGGTCCGTACTCCACTTAGCAATGATGAACTTCAGGGGATCTGGAGAGCTGGCTGAATACTGAACTCAAAATGGCGTTGTTCTGTTTTATTAATCTTGATGTTTACGATTCTGGACGAATCACAGCTGACAGATTAAATAAACACCACAGAGACTCTGCTATGCTTCAGATGTGAAGGTTCTGATTGGATTTTGTGACCGGAATGTGTCATGATTGTTTATCTGGTATATCAGCTGTCTAGTGGCTAGAATACGTCATTTTCTTATTAAACATTAATCATAACATTGTGATTTCACAGATCGGTCACATGGTTATTATTGACTAACAGTTGTTTTGATTAGCTTTATTAAAATAGAGTTCTTTGACTAATTAAAAGAAAAGAGTTCATTCTTCGTTCTTCTGTCTTCACCGCTGGAATGTAAACATTAGGAGTGAATGCATGACCTTGGCTGTTTCATGCACTCTGGCACTGGGTCAAACAGAACAGCTGTTAGAGGGGAGAAATGGTTCCTTCATCACGTTACGTGTGTGTGTGTGTGTGTGTGTGTGTGTGTGTGTGTGTGTGTGTGTGTGTGTGTGTGTGTGTGTGTGTGTGTGTGTGTGTGTGTGTGTGTGTGTGTGTGTGTGTGTGTGTGTGTGTGTGTGTGTGTTCGTTCCCAGGGCGTGCTGAGTAAAGCGGTGAACTGGAGACAGCTGGAGAAGCAGTATGCTGTTAATTCAGTGTACGAAGAGGAGATCATAAACCTGCTGGAGTACTGTGGGGTAAGTTCTCCTGAAGAACCCACTCCACTCCAGAACCTTTAAATGCTTTTTACGTAGCCACTCCATTGTGGCCCGGGTGGTGTTTTTGGGATGGTTGTCATTGTGGAAGAGTTTATTCACGTTTCATCTTCAATGCCCTCACTGAAGGAAGGAGGTTTTTGCCTGAATCCCATGATACGTGGCCCTGTTCATCCCTTCTAAAGTTGTCCTGACTCTTTTGAAGAAAAGCATCTCCAAAGCATAATATTTCCACCCCCATGTGTGTTACATGTTACGTCTGTGTCTTTTTGTCCACTCCTGTCAGGCGGATTCATTTAAAATGAGGAACCTGCCCCCACTGGAAGATCTGCTGAACCTCTCTGAGGAGTTAGGAGTGTCAGCAGGCCAAGATCCTAAAGAACCGATCCAGTCTCAGTTCGGTGGAAGTTCTGAAGGGGGTCGGACCGACGTCTTCGTATCATCAGCTGGTGATGGACCAAACAGAGACACCCTGCTGAGGTCAGGTTCCTTTTCTACTCAGGCTCATTACAGGTCAAGTAGAACCGGGTCTGGACTAAACATGTGACTGTAATCTGACCATCATGGGCCTGAAGCATGAAGTAGTAGCTGTATTAATACTATTGTACTGTTACAGTTGTAGTAATACTATAATACTGTTACAGCCGTAGTAATACTATAGTACTGTTACAGTTGAGTTAATACTAAAATACCATTACACTTGTAGTAATAGTATAATACTGTTACAGCTGTAGTAATACTATAATACTGTCACTGCTATAGTAATACTCTAATACTGTTACAGCTGTAGTAAAACTATAGTACTGTTACAGCTGTAGTAATACTATAATATTGTTACTGCTGTAGTAATACTATAGTACTGTTACAGCTGAGTTAATACTAAAATACCATTACACTTGTAGTAATAGTATAATACTGTTACAGCTGTAGTAACACTATAATATTGTTACTGCTGTAGTAATACTATAGTACTGTCACAGCTGAGTTAATACTAAATTACCATTACACTTGTAGTAATACTATAATATTGTTACAGCAGTGTTAATACTAAAATACCATTACACTTGTAGTTATACTATAATACTGTTACTGCTGTAGTAAAACTATCTCTGCCTCCGGACCTCATTTTTCTCCTTTATTGAAAAAAGTCTTTATTTGAAGCAGAGTTACCAGAGGTGGGCGAGGCTGGAGACAGAGTCAGAGAGGAGGCGAGGGTCAAAACCAGATTCGGACATGCAGATACGGGGAACAGGCAAGAGGCGAGGTTGAGGACAGGCGAAGGTCGTGGAGGCAGGCAGAGTTCAGGCAGGGGTCAGGAGAAAAACGAGGTCTGGAGGCAGAGATCAGGCAGGGTGAATAGCTGGAGAATTTGCTGGCACGAAGTCTTCAATAATCTGGCACTGAATGACTGGATGGCTGGTTCTTTTTTAGCAGGGGAAACAGGTGTGAGTGATGAGCTGAGGAGTCAGAAGCAGGTGAAGTGGATGAAGCTGATTGTGGTAGTCAGGGAAACAGGGCTTGGCTGGGGCTTGATGATGAGACCAGGTGTGCTGCATGAAGGCTGAGGAGGGTGAAGGATTGGGAGTCATGACAATAGTACTGTTTCTGCTGTAGTAATACTATAATACTGTTACGGCAGTGTTAATAATAAAATACCATTACACTTGTAGTAATACTACAGTTGCAGCTATAGTAATACTATAGTATTGTTACCACTGTAGTAATACTATAATACTGTTACTGCTGTAATAGTACTATGGTACTGTTACAGCTGTAGTAATACTATAATACTGTTACTGCTGTAGTAATACTATAGTACTCTTACAGCTGCAGTAATAATATAATACTGTTACTGCTGTAATAATACTATAGTACTGTTACAGCTGTAGTAACGATATAATACTGTTACTGCTGTAGTAATACTATTGTACTGTTACAGCTGTAGTAATACTATAATACTGTTACTGCTGTAGTAATACTATAGTACTCTTACAGCTGCAGTAATAATATAATACTGTTACTGCTGTAATAATACTATAGTACTGTTACAGCTGTAGTAATGATATAATACTGTTACTGCTGTAGTAATACTATTGTACTGTTACAGCTGTAGTAATGATTTAATACTGTTACTGCTGTAATAATACTATAGTACTGTTACAGCTGTAGTAATGATATAATACTGTTACTGCCGTAATAAAATTATACTACTGTTACAGTTTTTTTAGACCTAAAAAAGGCGTTCGATACTGTTAATCATGAAATTCTATTAAAAAAATGGAAAGGTACGGGTTTAGGGGAATCGTTGGGGACTGGTTAAAAAGCTATGTAGGGAATAGGAAACAATATGTACAAATAAATGAATACAAATCTGATTTGATGGATATAGCTTGTGGAGTACCTCAAGGTTCACTACCGGGACCAAAATTGTTTATTATGTACTTAAATGATATCTGCAGAGTATCAAAAATTTTAAAGTTTGTAATATTTGCAGATGACACAAATGTACTGTGTTCAGGTGTGGAATTGCCACAGGTCTTGGAGTTGATCACACAGGAATTAACGATATTATAAAAGTGGTTTGATATAAATAAATTATCATTAAATCTAGATAAAACCAGATTTATGTTATTTGGTAAGCAAAAGAAAAGCATCAAAATAGAAATTTGTGTGGATAATGTATATTTAGAAAGAGTAAATGAAATAACATTTCTTGGTGTGATCACTGACCATAAGCTCTGTTGGAAGCCACACATCACTTATGTTCGGGGGAAATTGGCACGGGTCGTTGCCATCCTGGGGAAAGCAAAGAATATGCTGGATCAGAAAGCCCTGCACATATTATACTGTGCTTTACTACTGCCATGTATGAGTTACCATGTAGAGGTCTGGGGAAACACATACAAAAGTAACATACATAACTATATAACTATAATACAGAAAAAGGCCATTAGAATAATAAATAATGTGGGGTACAGGGACCATACAAAAGCACTCTTTGTCGAAATGCAAGCTATTAAATTCCAAGGCTTGGTGAAGCTCAAAACAGCACAAATAATGTATAAAGTAAGAAATAAATTGCTTCCTAAAGAAATCTGTTTATTGTTCAAAGAAAGAGAAGGTGGGTATAAGGAAACGGAATTTAAAAATACAAAGTGCTAGAACAACTTTAAAAACTATGTCAATCGCAATAGCAGGAGTTAAATTATGGAACAGCCTAACAGAAGAGATACAAGAAAGTAAAAACATAAACCAGTTTAAAGTAAAATATAAAAACCTAAGTTTAAATAAGTATAAGAATGAAGAAAACAGGGTTAACCCAGAACGGTAATGCGGCTGGCTATGCTGTTGTGCTTCTTTTTCTGTGTTTTTTGGTTTGTTTGGTTTTTCTTTTTTTCTCCATAACTGGTGAATCTGCAAATTTACACATTCTCTGTTTTCCATATGTTGTTTTGTTTATATATATATATATATACATATATACATACATATATATATATATTTTTTTTCAAATGTTGTTTGTTTAATTTAAGATTGAAAGAAAATTAAATGAATAACAGGTCAAACGTGGGGGTAGGGACAAATAAGTAAAGCCTACTCTTTTTCAAACAAATAATGGAATTATATTTTGTAATGATGCACGTGTGAAATGTTTGAAATAAAAATGAACTGAACTGAACTGTAGTAATACTACTGTTACTGCTGTAGTAATACTATAGTACTGTTACAGCTGTAGTAATGATAAATATTGTTACTGCTATAATAATATTATAGTACTGTTACTGCTTTAGTAATACTATAATATTATTACCGCGGTGTTAATATTACAATACCATTACACTTAGTAATGCCACAGTTATAGCTATAGTAATACTATAGTATTGTTACCACTGTAGTATTACTATAACAGGCTGCATGTTTGTGGCTGGCCTTTCTGGATCTGATCTGATCGTTTTAACCAGAAGAAGATGACTTACCCTGACCCTCCATGAGTATGAGACCAGGTTCTGCTGTTGCTGATGTTCCTTTTGGTTTCACGTTGAATCATCAGCTAGTGTCATTGTGCTGCAGAAGCTTCAGTCTCCACAGACCCAGGATGAAGAGCAGCCCGGCCCGGTGCTACAGACCGACTCTTCACTTAGAATCAATCAGCTTCATGAAGGGAGTGATGGACGAGTGCACCCACATGGCCAACTTCTCAGGTGGGTACCTGTTTGAACAGGTACGCACTGATGCGCGTGTGTGTGTGTGCAGTGGCGGTTCTACATGGAATTACTCCCCGGGCGAGGCCCCATTTGAGCCCCCACCCCCCACCACCACCCCACCTGCATGAACAAACGCATGTTTTCTACAAACAGGCATGTTTTATTAGAACGAATATTGAACATTCATTTTTCTAAGTTGCACATATTTACATTAATTACTATGAAGTTGTCAGAATGTAAAGCAATATACATTATATATATACTGTATCTAAATATATAGAATCAAATATACAAAAACAAACAATAACTAAATATTAAGAATATATGAACATAATCGATGATAAATATTCTAAATAGCAAAAATATTTCACACATAACAAACTAAAGATAATCACTACAGCATTGCACTTAGAACAGAAAACACAAACTAAAATTAAAACCTAACCTTGATGCAAAGTCATCAATAATGTCATCATATGAAATCTGCTCCCCTACTGAGTGATTGGTACTAATCAGAGCCAGGTGAGTGAGCCGCCCCTGAAACATAGGTGACCTCAGGTATGACTTGATCAAGTTTTGAAAAGCTCCTCTCAGCTTGAGCCACAGTGACTGGCAGAGCAGTCCAAAAGTTGGGGTAGATCTCCAATAGATCTTTATCATGATCCATAATATTTTAGAATGGCCTCTGAAATTGTAATTTAAACTGGCATAAAAATAAACTGTAGACTACCAAAAATGCCAACTTTTACAGAACAAATCATGTAAAAAATAATCAGTGCAGCCATCTGCAATAAATAAACAGGATAGTTAGTGGTGACTGGGGAGTTTTCTTCTGCTTGTACAGTTGTTTTATTTATTATTATGTCAACATGATCAACATGTGTTTGTTGTTGTTCAGGCAGGCCACAGGCTGCAGTGAGCATTTAACAAATCCTAGTTTGAATCAGTAAAAAACGATTCAAGGAATTTTTTTGAATCATTTGAATATTCGTTTCAATATTTCAGCCCTATTAGCTCTGTTAGCAATTAGTTGACCGAATTTAACCGTTAAAATCCCAGTTAACTGGTTCAAAAAATTGAAAACATGCATCATGAGAGCTACATACCTTTATCTTTCTCCTCTTTTTTCTTTTTTTTTCCTGAATGGGGCACCTGGTGGTTTTAGCCTTTTTATGTTCATCTCTTCTAAAGTTTCCTTTAGTCAGGACTAAACTATTTGACCTTGATGGGGGGGTGACCACAAAGTCGTTTTGGTTTTCTTTTTTTTATTCGGCCATTTCACACAATTCAGAAAAACCTGAAAGAATGATAGGCCTGTGTTTATGATATTATGAATGAAATATGGAAGAACGTTAAGATGTGATTGACTTTAGCCTTGTTAATACAGTTGATTCAGCCCCTGCACGCTCATTTCATTTGGGAAAGACCCAGAGGTGAATTCCCCCGCCGCGCCCCTCCACTTTCTCTTCTTCATACACACACGGAGCACCTGAACCCTCTCAGTCAGCAGGAGCGCCTGCAGCTGCAGGGGGCGCCAACCTGCTGTTTCCAATCCAGACTCTGTGATATGACAGATAATAGAAAACCTCGGTGCGGCGCAGATTTCTTTCTTTTTTATTTTTTACTCCACGCTTGTGCGCCCCTTTTGTGTCATGAAAAAATGCCGCCCCGGGCAACTGCCCTGTCTGCTCGTGCCTAAAACCACTACTGTGTGTGTGTGTGTGTGTGTGTGTGTGTGTGTGTGTGTGTGTGTGTGTGTGTGTGTGTGTGTGTGTGTGTGTGTGTGTGTGTGTGTGACATCAAAGATGTGATCAAACATTCTGACAGTCTCTGAGATCTAAGATGTCTGTTCACCCCCACACCCCCAGTCCCTGTAGACACCGGTCTTATAATCGTGGTCCAGGCCAAGGAGGACGCCTACGTTCCTCGTACTGGGGTCCTCAGTCTGCAGGAGATCTGGCCCGGATGTGAGGTCCGATACCTGAGTGGAGGACACATCAGTGCGTACCTGTTCAAACAGAACTTCTTCAGGTAAAATGTGAAAGAACTTTCTGCATTTGTGTTTAGAGTCTGAAGATGAATTGTGTTGGTTCCTGTAGACTAGTTCTTCATAGGAATCATGTTTCACAGATGTCCTTTGTCCTGGAACGTTCACGTCACTGATGAGAGTTTCATCCTAGTTCTTCTGAACATAAGTAGACCAAAATATGGAATAAAGATGAAGAGTCAGATTCTTACAACATAAAGACAACAAAGATGTTATGTTTAAAATTCTCAACACTACAGCGATAAAGCGTTCCTCAGCCTGCACCCTGGGTGCAGGTAGGTCTCAGCAGACAGAAGCGGTCGCCTGGTCTGCCAGACTCGTCCTGGTTTCTACACAAAGAACTCCCATCAGGAAGCGTGGGGCTGGCTGGTCAGGCTCCAGAAGCTAACCCGTCCATCTCATCCACTGAGCTGGTCTAATGGTGTATTTACACTGTGGCCAACTGGGTCTGACTCTGGTAGCGTCAGTGCTGAGCTGAGCCAAAACACCCACCTATTAACTGATTGGCTGGCTGGTGTTATGTCACTACCTACTAGTGGGAGCCTCTGATTGGCCTGGTGGTGTGCGTGTGAACTGATGTCACAGAATAGCGCCCGACCAAACCCAAACAGCGGTCTAACACCTGGTCTGACGTGTCGGTCTTGTGTTCTCTTTTGCAGGCAGGCCATCTACGACGCGTTTAACAGGTTCAGCCTAAAGTATCCAAATCTGCACTGATCCAGGAGAGCAGAACCTTGTCCCAGAACAAGCGGACCGGACCGGACCGAGGAGAAAGTGCTGTGAGCCTCAACATGGGTCTGAGCAGAGCAGGGGCTTAGTGAGGTATTCCCAACAAAGAGCCTGGTCTCGTCTCGGTACCCGGACCTGGAGAACACCGGTCCCGTTCTCAGCTGGTGTGAGGCTCATACTTCCATGTCCTAGTTTTTTTCCTGACATCAGAATCTTCTGAATTCCAGAACCAGATGTGATCAGCGCTGAACGAAGGTTCTGATGAAGAGTAAATTATTGACGATGACCTTTGATTATTATGAAATCCTGTTTGAGCTCATTAATAAAGTGGTATTTTAAAGAGAATTGTTCTGTTTTTAATGCTCAGTGGAAGAAAAGCATCTAGACCAACTCTGGATGTAAGCTGGCTCAGAGCCAGGACTACGCCAGAACATCAGAACTGTGACCCGTGCAGCAGCTCGGCAGGATCGTCACAAATGCATCAGATGTCACGATGAAACAAGTGAGACGGTCACCGGATGTTTTTAGCTCCATGAGAAGGAAACTAATCCAGACGTTGCCTCCAGGTGCTTCAGGTAACCGAAGTGGGCGGGGTTAGATGAAGGCGCCTGAGGGTGAGCCGGAGCGTTTTAGTTAGATCTGAGACCGATCTGCAGATTTTTAGATCTTCATACATGAAACCTGACCCAGTTAAGTCAGAGAGCCAGTCTGGATCTTCTGCTGGGCTGGTTCAAGTCCACGTGTCCCTGACCTGACCTTAACTCGGACCTGGCTGGTGTCGGTGGCTGAGCTGATCTGTTCAGCGATGGGCCGACTAAAAACAGATGAGTCAAAACACAACGGTGTGGTTAATGATTTATTTTGCATTTGCAATATTCACAAAAGTGCAGCATGACATAATTTAACATCAGGACACAAAAACCATTCATGTGGGCAGGAAGTAAAGCCGAGAACGGGTTGGACAGGTGGCCTGACTGGTTTAACTAAAGGAACAGCTCTGGTGGAGAACCTGGGAGACGTTGTGGATCCTCTACCACCTGACCCCGCTCAGGGGGCCTGCGTGGTTCCTAGGCCTGCAGCATTAGCATACGCCGAAAGCAAACTGACCACCTGCCTGGTCTCCAGGGTGAGTCTGGCTTCAGTCAGCCAGTCCTCCACCACTCTCCTGGCCTCGCCTCGCAACTGGTTCACCAGTTTAGCTGCCAGCTCCAGATCCCCGTGCTCCAGGCAGTAGCTAGCGTAGGACAGGAGCTTAAACGGGTCTAAATCTGCACCGCTCAGCTGGCTGGGCGGGGCTTCCTGCTGATCCTCAAACAGCAGCACGGCCTGAAGGTAGGACAGGAAGTACTGGTACAGAGAATTACGGGATTCATCGATGAGTGCCACTCTGCGGGCGAGCGATCGCAGGGCGTTGAAGCGAGCTCTGAGAGAAGCTTCGCTGTACACGCCACGCTGCAGCGACTCCTGAGGCAGAGCCGACGCCAGCGCCGAACAAAAATCGTCATGGCAGCTGGCCCGCACAGCCTCGGCAGCATCCTCCAGAGGCATGCTGGGAGAGTCTGCTCCAGCGCTCTTCAGGGCGTAGCTGAGAGCTTCCACAGAGAGCCACAGCTGGTGGGCTTCACGGGCCGTCTCCTCGGCAACCGCATGACCTGTAGTCAGAGCACAGAGAGACAGGTCAGGCTGATTCTGGCGGTAGAGCGGTCCACCAGGGCGCTTCCTGAGAACTGTTTGAGCCCTGAGTCCAAACTCGAGACCGGCTCAGTTACCGCGGCCCTGGTGGCGCCATGACATCATCAGGTAAGTGTTTAGAGTGTCTTACTGTCGATGGCCTCCTCGATGCCCTTCAGTCGGGCGTAGGCTGCATTCATATCCAAGGTGAAATTATCCAGCTGCTCCTGGGTGAGCTGACGGTACCGCGTCTCCTGGTCCAGAATCTTACTGTTCAGCACCTGAAAACAGCCCACAGGTAAAACCGTCCGGGTCACGTCTGGTGGCCGTAAAAACCTTTTCGCTGTGATCAAAGGAGTCGTAGATGTGAAGATGGAACCGATCCGGGTTCCTGTTTATGTCAACAGTTAGGGCCGGAAACTTCATCGACATGGACCAGCTGTTCTCCACCAGTGGCGTGTGTGTGTGTGTGTGTGTGTGAGACCTGCTCGGCCTCTGCTCTCAGCTCCTGCTCCTGGACCTTCAGAACATCTCGAACATGGTCTGTGTGAGCAGCAGCCTGGCGGCGGAGCTGAGTCCTCATCTCGGCCTCCATCACTTCCCTCAGTTCAGCGAGCTACACACGCAAGCACGCGCACGCACACACACGCACGCACACACACACACACATTAAACCCATTTCTAAGTGAAGCAGGTGGGTCTTCCCCTTGTTCTGATGTCAGACCTTCTGTTCCAGGTTCAGTCTGGCCTCCTCCTTCACGTGCCCCATCGCCGTGGTAACGGCCGCGTCCAGGACCTTGTGGTCCTCCACCTTCTGCTGCTCCAGTGCTGCTTCGATGTGGATCTGCTCCCTGACCCGCTGCTCCGCCAGCTCTCGGTTCAGCTGGTCGATGCGCCGGTGTGCGTGGGCGATGAGGGCGTTCAGATCGTCCACCGACAGTTTCCCAGCTAAAACACACACACTGCTCATGGAGATGGTTCCAGATGTCAGACGTAGAACCAGTGAGCTTCTACTTACTGAGCCCTTTCCAGTTGGCCTGGATCTCTGGAGTCAGGCTGCTCACCTCCCTCTGGAACTGCTGCTTGGCCTCATTCACCAGTTCGGTGTACTGGGAGACCACCTTGGCCTCTGACTCTGCTGAACGCACCTGCAGGTGGACAGAACCATCACCGTGAGCCAGCGCGCGACCTTCGGCTCCTGATAGCAGGGTCTGAGGTAGCTGCTAGCATCGCCTCACAGAGGAAGTGATTCGGGTTAAAATGACATCATTAAAAACTCATCCAGGCAGAACTTTGACCAAACAAGCTTCTCTACCATCCAGCTTCAAACTCACTGCTCTCCTCTACGGCTAGCTGAAGATGCTAACACTAGCTCACTTCCTCTTGGTTCTGACTGGTTCCAAAGATCATTCTGGCCCAAACGGCTTTGCTTGTGCTTCCAGCTAATCACTGGAGACCCACAACAACTTAGCGTTATTCATGTGTGTGTAGAGAAGGTCCAACAGCAACATTTCACACGCAACATGACGAGGGAGCAATTCAGAACCGGCTTCCAGTCCCAGGGTGACTCTGTCCTTAAGTTCTTCTTGATCTGATTAAAGCTCCAGAACAACAAAAGTGTTAACGCCTCAGCTCCTACCTTGGAGACCACTTTGTCCAGGTCCACCACCATCTGGTGGAGATTCTCCTCCGCAGCTAAGATCAGAGGACGAGCAGCCGCCACCTTCTGTCCTTTAGCCTGGTTGATCACAGACTTCAGACCTTCCAGGGCTTCACTGAAATGAGACACAGAACAGAACCAGCAGGTTTTAGGAAGACATGAACAGAATCCTGAAGAACCAAGATCAGAGTGTGTGTGAGTGTGTACTTGTCTTTATATGTTTAAGTGGCCTAATTTGGACTTTTAACATGTGGACATTTCCACATTGTGGGGACATGTTGCTGGTCCAGGGTTTAAGCCCGGACCACACAGCGAGTTTTGGCCGTCGTACAGGATTGTTCATGTCGCTGTACGACAAGATTCCAGTGAGGCAGACCGCACGTCTCTGTCCCTCAGGACACGCTCCGTCGTGAGCGCACCTCCCAAAGCATACGTCACTAAGCAGACTAGAACAAAGCTGGAAAGTTAAGAGCACTTTTTTACGTCGGCTCATGACCCAACTCCGAGAACAAGCTGCGTTTTTAAAACCCTCGCTTTGGCGTCAGACTGTCGGAGGCTGATTTGGTCGTGAGACGGTCACACTGGACAACCACAAATCTGCAAATCACCCTCAAGTTCACGTTTTTTTACCTGATTATGCTCCCGACGAGGGATCTGGCTAAGATGGCCGCAAATGGCACCGTGTGATGCGGGCTTTGGAAGTTTGGAATGAACTAACCTTTAGTTTAGGTTATGGTTAGTGGAGTCACGCGTGTGTGTGTGTGTGTGTGTGTGTGTGTATTACTTGGCTTTTGAGAGTGTGGTCGTGGCGTCCTTTACAGCAGCGGTTCTTTCAGCTAAAGCAGCTTCTAGCTCCTTCCACTGGGTGGACTTTTCATCAGATGGAGCCTGGACGAGGAATGTGAAATCATTTAGGAGACACCCATTCATCCGTCCTACCGAGACGTTTTCCTGGAACATTTTTTGCCACATTACCTCAAATGCTCTCCACACACTGATGGAAAAACTTTTTGTTTTGTCAAAAGGACGAAAACGTTTAATCGCCTCTGAAACTCAATCGTGGAACAGCCTCATCCAACCCAGAGCAGGCGCACTACCTAGACGATTGGCCCGCAACCCAATGAACCTCAACTGACGGCCCGCGGGCCACATCCAGTCCGTCAGACCTTTGGGCCCTAATGCCCCCCAAGGGGGGGACTTAGAAGTTTAGCAGCAAAATCCACGTTCCAAATATAAATAATTGTTTACATTCTGCAAACACATTTAATTACAACCAAAACAGTTTAGATGGAAAACATCCATTCTTCCATCCATTTTCATCCGCTTATCCAGAGTCGGGTCGCGGAGGCAGTACCCTAAGGTGAGAGGCCCAGACTTCCCTCTCCCCAGCCACTTGGGCCAGCTCCTCCGGGAGAATCCCAAGGCGTTCCCTGGCCAGGTGAGAGACATAGTCCCTCCACCGTGTCCTGGGTCTACCTTTAGGTCTCCTCCCGGTTGGACGTGCCCGGAAAACCTCACCAGGGAGGCGTCCTGACCAGATGCCCGAGCCACCTCAACTGACTCCTCTCGAGAGCCCAGCCACTCTGCGGAGGAAACTCATTTCGGCCGTTTGTATCCACCATTTTGTTCTTTCGGTCACTACCCAAAGCTCATGACCATAGGTGAGTGTAGGAACGTAGAAAGACCAGTAAATAGAGATAAATTTGCCTTCTGACTCAGCTCTCTCTTCACCATGACAGAGCGGTACAACGCCCACATCACCGCAGATGCAGCACCTACCCACCTATCGATCTCCTGATCCAGTTTGCCCTCATTCGTGAACTTGAGATACTTAAACTCCTCCACTTGGGGCTGGACCTCATCCCCGACCCGGAGAATGGTAAATTGTCTGTATTTGTATAGCACCTACTTAGGTTTCTGCAACCCCCCAAGGCGCTTCACAACACAATCAGTCACACACACATTCACACACTGGTGGGGGTGAGCTACAATGTAGCCACAGCTGCCCTGGGGCGCTCTGACAGAGGCGAGGCTGCCAAGCACTAGCGCCACCAACCCCTCCGACCACCACCAGTAGGCAAGGCGGGTTAAGTGTCTTGCCCAAGGAGGACACAACAGCAGCATTCTCTGGTCGGAGCCGGGATTGAACCCGCAACCTTCCCATTACTGGACAACCCGCTGTACTTCCTGAGCTGCTGCTGTCATTCTACCCTTTTCCGATTCAAGACCATGGTCTCGAATTTAGAGGAGCTGATTGTCATCCCAGCTGCTTCACACTCAGTTAAGAACCGCTCAGCAAAAGCTGGAGATCACGTTCTGATGAAGCCAACAGGACCACGTCTGCCAAAAGCAGAAACCCGATCCTCAGGCCACCAAAACGGATCGCCTCAACACCTTGGCTGCACCTAGAAGTCCCATCTATAACAGTTATGAACAGAATCGGTGACAAAAGGCAGCCCTGACAGAGTCCAACTCTCACTGGAAACGAGCCCGACTTACTGCCGGCAAGCTCCGACACCGGTCACACAGACCTAACAGCAAAACTCGTAGATTAGTCGGGCGAGCTCCCACGCACCCTTCTGGACCCCGTAAGGGTGCAGAGCTGGTCCAGAAACAAAGCCGTTTTAAATATTAATAAATTACAACAAACAATAATACTTAAAGTGTATTTTAGAAGAGCGTCTTGCCCTCACGGTGTCTGCTGGAGAAAACTCAGGTTTAGTTGAGGACCCCAGCCTAAACTCACCCATCAGACAGCTCCTCCGAACATCACTCGCCTGGCTGCACATACCGCTCCGTCCTCCGCGGACAGGAAGAGCAACCAGCGGAAGAGCCCGGCGTCACAGATGGAATGTCCTGTTCCGTTTGTAAATCTCACTTCAGGAGTTATCGTACATGTTCTGTTTGGAGTCCACCTCCTGATGATCGACAGCTGCTGCCTCTTCATCATTTCAATAGAAGGAAGACACATTTTTCTTTGCCCTTGGGCACGGTTAACTTTACCATTTTGTCTTTTGTCTTAAAGACAACAGGACACCTCTGCTCTAGCCCGACTTGTCATCCTGCGAGCGCGCGCACACACACACACGTGCGCGCGCACACACACACACACACACACACACCTAGAACCACAGGTATCCTCAGGTTGACCCACCTCTGCCTCCATGGCGTCCTTCAGCTTGCGTGTGTGCTGGGTGACAGCCTGCAGAGCCACCTCCTGGGCTCCAATAGCCTGCAGCGTGGCCTTAGCAGAGGAGGCTAGAGAGTCCTCCAGACGAGATGAAAGGGCTGCAAAAACAACAGGAGGCTCAGAAACCTCTTAAAGCTTCAAGCATAAACCCCCGATGCTGCAGACTACCACGCTTCTAAACCAGGGAAGCTTCATTAATGTGTGTGTGTGCGTGTGTGTGTGTGTGTGTGTGTGTGTGTGTGTGTGTGTGTGTGTGTGTGTGTGTGTGTGTGTGTGTGTGTGTGTGTGTGTGTGGTTATCTGCTCACAGGCCAGAAGCTTCTCTTCCTCCTGGTCTTGCTGGACCAGTCTAGCAGTGACCTCATCAACTGGACGTTCCTTTAGAGGCTCTGCTGACGCGACTGCTGCCGTCTCTGAAACATCAGCGTGTTTGTGACACTCCTTACACTCGTCTGTAGGACACACACACACACACACACACACACACACACACACACACACACACACACACACACACACACACACACACACACACACACACACACACACACGAAGCAGCATCATATGAACCTAGTTCATGTTTTTTAAACAGACACTCACACTGATGGTGGTGAGCTACACCGTAGCCACAGCTGTAAGTCGCTTTGGACGAACGTGTCTGCTAAAACCACAAACAATGACCTGGACAGAGCCTGGGTTCAAACCGACAACCCACTGGTTACAGGACAAACTCCTAACCCCTGAGCCACCATCACCTCCATCATGTGACCCAAACGTCTGCATGGCTGAAGCACACCCTGTCTCCATAACCACGGTCTCCTGTGCACGGACGACCTGGACATCACGTGACCACCCGGTGACTCTGAAGGTGGTTTTCTACACTGGGATGGAACCATTTAGAACCTGGTGGAGACCAGATTAGGCTTTATGCCCTGCTAGGTAGAACCCTGGGCCTGGAGGAGGCTGGACTTTATTCAGACACCAGTAGGTCCAACCCAAGGCCTACTGGCCAGCACCAGGTCAGAGCTTCCAGAGGGGAGGAGAACGTACCTGCAGCTGCCTCTGAGTCACACGTAGCAGGAACTGATGGGACCTCACTGATGGCCGAGATGATCTGAGTCGCCTCTGCTGACGCTTCTGCATGAACACACACATTACAGGCACAGCGGGTTGGTGTGTGCGCTTACTGAGTTATGTAAAGACAGACCCACCCAGTCCCTGATGAGACACTAATGGCCCTTACACACTAGCATCAGCTCCACCCCGCCTGGACCGGGTTAGGGCTGTTCTCATTCCTGCACACAACCCCTCTTCCCAAGGCGGTCTGCCTGGAACCGAACAAGGCTGACAAACCCACCGCCGGTTGATTGGCCAGCTCAAAATCACGCGTGCCATTAGGGGGAGCGTCCAATTGGCAGATAGAATCAGACACACACACACACACACACACAGTGCTGGCAGACACAGCAAAGCACGATACAAAATCAGAGTCCGAGAGTCCCAAAAGCAAGACTGCTCCGGCTGCTTCTGTTCAGTAATGGACACCGCGGCTGCAAATGCGCTGGCAACGATCATCTGTATGCAGCAGCAGAGCAGGCCGAGGCAGATCAGAGCGAAGGGGGAAATATATGTCGCAGGTGCGATGAAAAAAAAAATCTGTGTGCATTAAACTATTTTTACACGTAGCACTCGTGCGACATCTTTTCAAGCTACTTCCCCCCCCCCAGAACTTTATTGAACAAAGGTACGTTGCTTGCTATCGTGTAAAGAAGATGCCTTTTACTGGTGCACAACGTGCTAACAGGTGCTGTGGAGGAAAACAGAAACCAGAAAAGACACAAAGGCAGAAACGGTCCAAAATCTAGGATTAAAAGTGGAACTACGGGTAGATTAGCTAACGCTAGCGAGTAGCAGATCAAGTGAGGTTAGCCAGGTGGTTAGATCCTGCTTTGTCCAGTTTCGCCGGCTACCAAAGATGAAGTCCATCCTGACTAGACATGACCGGCACACAGTGATCCATACATTTGTGATCTCTGGCTTTGATTATGCAAATTCCCTTCTTTATGGATCTACATCTTCCTCGGTTGCGCGCCTACAGCTGGTGCAGAATGCGGCGGCCCGCCTTTTGACGGACACCAGAAGGAGGGAGCACATTAATCCTGTTCTGGCCCAGCTGCACTGGCTCCCGGTGCGTTACTGCATCCAGTTTAAAATTTTACTTCTTGTTTTTAAGTCACTCCGGCTTTATGCTGCTCTGTACTTGACTCAGCTGGTTCTGCCCTACGTACCTGGTCCCAAGTGTTTGGGCGAGGACGCAAGGAGAACGCGCGTTCTCAATCTTTGCGCCTCGTCTCTGGAATCAACTCCCTCTAGCAGTGAGAATGGCCCCCTCTCTCTCCGATTTAAAATCACGCCTGAAGACTCATTTTTATTCCGTGGCTTTTACTTCAGCCGAGTTAGCATTGTACCATGTCTCTGTTTTATTTTTATTGATTTTATAGTAGTCACTGTACTACTTTTATTACTTTCTTCCCGTGTGTGGATTTTTATGCTCTTTTACTGTGCAGCACTGTGGTTGGCCTCGGCCGTGTGGGAATCTGCTTCATAAATAAAATGGAAGTTCCAAATAAACACGATGGTCGTGAAACTAAGAACATCTAAACTCTACCAGCGGAAGAAAAGTCCCCGCCATCCTGTTTATTGTTAGCTGTCTGCAGCACCAGGGAGCAGAACCTCTGGTTGCTGCTTTGAGTCTGCTCCGCTGCGGGGTTATGGCAAGCCACCGTAGCATGTAATTCACAAACGCATCTATCCGTGAACGCAATTTAAACTGGATTAGTGCCAACCCGTACATGTGTCACCATTACATGTTAGCAGTAGAAAGTAAATGTTATTAGCGTTTCCAGTAGCTAGCTACTGAAAATGCTAATTAAATTTTAACTAAGGATACATTTAGGTGACAGCGTGTTGTTTTGAACGCCACTGAGCTGTTATCTAATCAAGTTCCATTGTTAAATGTTCCCGTTTAATCTGATTAATCGAATCGATGACCCAAATAATCGTTTGTTGCAACCCTACACCGCGCTCTTTTGCCCCGCCCACATGCTCAGAGATAACCTCCTGACATCACAGGTCACTGACCGCCCATGTGCCCCCCCCCGCTGTCTCACACATGTTCTGCACTACTCTTCTCTACCATTTCTGTCCTCGTCTCCGGCTCATCCACCGTCTGACCCTGGAACCAACCCTGCTGTCTGTTCCCGTCACCAACGAGTCCTTTAGGGTCTGCACCGCTCTCTAAACTCTTTCATCATCTAAATCATCTAGCTCATATCCTACCTGTGGATCAGAATCACTAACAATGAGGATTATTATTCCAACAAGCATCAGGCTCCTCAGACTACCTGACACTCGTCACTTCCAGAATGATCCCAACACCAGCTATTCTGACCACTTGTGAACAAGCAGCATCTTTTAGGCAGCGTAGTTTTAAATCTACAAGGTAATTCATGAAGTCCAACCAGCCTGTTGTCGTGTTTTAACGTCGCCATAATCAAATCTCGTATGCGTTTATTCACTCCGCTTGGCCCAAACGCAACACCAAATGAAGCTCATTGCGCTCCACAGCTGGCTCTCCTTCAGCGGCTAATCTGTGGTAGCTTCTGCAGGAGCGGCTGAGAAACGGTGAGAACCTCCTACCCTGTATGCTCTGAGCTGGCGGTGGTGGGACCAGACTGGACTCTGGGCCACTTGCCTCTGCTGCCTCCTTCACACTCTTCTGGGACTTGGCTTTGGGATCCGTTTTTGGTTTATCCAACATGGAGGGTGGCTGGTTCAACTCCACCTGAACAGAAACCATTAGAGATAATAAAAAAAAATAATGTTATTGTTCCTAACTACTGAGCCACAACACGTCGAAACAACTTAGCAGCGTAGTCTAATCCAGCTCCTACAAGATCATCCCTGAGCCCCAAGTCCATCGACACGCTCAAATGGTTTACTTAAATCCAAACTTCCTCTGCTGGGAGACGAAAGTGAATTTTGTCACGGTACAGCTGCCACGTCATGTGACCATGAGATGATCTTCCATTTTCATCACAATCCCTAGTTTGTGGCAGCAGCTCAGGGAACACCTAAACCGCGCCTTCTGGTGGCGGCACGCCAGACAGCGAAGACAAAATCAGCACAAATGATGAGAGCCGTCGCTCTAAACAACAAGCCCCGCCCCCTTCTTTAGCTCAGGTGGACTTCACAGGAAAACCTTAACAGGTGACAGGAACTGGACTTTGCGTGTGAACAGGTGTTCACCTCCGCTCCTCACCTGTTTCCTCACAGGGAGACGGGCATCCTCAGGAGCCGGTCCCAGAGCCAGGCCCAGCAGCCAATCAGAGTACGGGACATTCTTCTCCACAGCTGCTCTGAACTTGGGGTCCCATTTGGAGTAGAGCAGTGTCCCTCCCACGCCTCCGCCTACCGTCACCAAGCCGAGAGCAACCACTCTGGAGGCGCCGCTGTGACGGGGAGGGGCAGACGGTTAGGTTTTTACCTGTGAGGTGTGTCCTTACCTCACCTGAGGGGTCAGTTACCTGCTCCTGCTGGTGGAGTAGCACCTGTAGGACTGCAGCGGAGTCAGAGGACTTCTCACACAGTTCTTCTGAAACACACAATGTCCCAGGTACAGTGAAGGCAGCATCTACGGTTGTGACGTCACCTCCAACTAAACTCACCTGTAAACATCAAATCTCTGAACACACAGGTCACCTGAGAGGTGCTCGTTAGGGTTCGGACCCTAATCCTTACCGGTACCGGAGGGAATGTAAACAAAGCCTAACCGCGGGCTAACCAGAGACGCCAAACTGGACCGGATGTCCTGACACAAAACTGGTTCTGTTCAACCCTGAGAACCGTGGAACCTTGAGCTGGGTCACCGGATGACCCCACCATGCTAGCTGCTAACAGGACGGGTTCGGCTCTTACCCGGACCGTGGCGTGGGCTCCTCGCAGGCACACTCCAAGCATGGTCCTCGCTTCAACGGTCCGAGTCCAAAGCGGGTTCGGCGGTGGCACCACGACAACTTTCCTTCACACAGTCGTTCAGCGGACACAAACCAGAACCGGACCGGAACCTCCTCCCGCTGCCAGGCTTCACTTCCGGGTGGAAAAGCAACCCGTCTTCAGCGCCACCTGCTGGTGGGGAGTATGGCTCCATCCACGCGGACGTTCTCTCCTCTTTACCTGTCGGTCCTCGGGTGGTCTTCCTCCTGGCAGTAGATGGTGAAGGTCCACACTGTGGTCCGGCCCGCATCGCACCCGATTAGAGTAAAAACAGGTCCAACTGCCACCGGTCCCGTCCATCAGCTTCTAGTCATCACTTGCTGACTTCTCATTCTCACTCGACTCCCGCCATCAGGCACGGCTCGGCTGTGGAGATCTCCGTAGGAGCAGAACCTTCTCTAGCTCTCCGTTCAACTATTCCCAGGAGGGGAATGCCGGGTCACAATTTCTGATCCAGTTTTCACACGTTCCCCTCCACTCCTTGATCGATTCCGTGGTCTTCAGAGAGCAAATGAAGTTTCATTGCTGTTCTCCACCTGGTCCATCGTGAGCTCCTTCACCAAACACACTGGTTCCAGCATGTTTCCTAGTGCCGACACGTACACAAGAACAAACTCGTCCCGTACACTCACTTCCACCTGAATGCCTCCAAGTACTTTATTCCATAAAAACTCGGACCTTCTCAAGGATTTCAGGCACCAGTCAGAACCAGTAACGAGGTTGTTCTTTTTATTTTCATGTCTTCATCAAAAGCAAACAAACAAACAGTTGTAATAAGGACATATTAAAATTACACGTAGTTCATAACAGCAAACGTAAAACTGTCTGGCTCAACAGTCAAATCAGAGCTCTACAAAATATTCTACAAGCCGTCGCTCCTCCTTAAATAACTCCTGGACTCAGGTCGATGCGACGTCTCCCCACCGGGACACAAACAGACAAGGACAACAGTCTCCTGACGGGTCAAAGCTGGAATTATAAACCTGGTGGTGGAGTGATCTCCCTGAGCAGATGTCCAAGTTAAAAGTGTCCTTTTTACGGACTAAAAACAAATATTTGAACCCAAACGACTCCAGAACACACTTCCCAGATGCAGGTGGAGTTCAGCAGGAACCCCAACCATGAGCTACACCATGTCAGGCCCCCCTGGGCTCTCTGTCCTCTGGACTTTAACTGGGGTCCCCAGGTAGTCTTGATCCTGAACAACACAGAACAAGCAGATTCAGAACCGAGCCCAGAAAGTGTTAGGTTTAACCTGTCGGTTCGTAACTACGCTAACTCACCGTTACAGAGGAGGCGTGCACCCAGTGGGCGGTGGGGGGGTGCTCAGAGTGCGACAGGGTAGGGAAGTCCAACTCGATATCCATGACGTCACCAAAATCCAGCTCCTCACAGGGGTCCAGCTCCTGACTGGAGGAAAAACAAAATGACCTGCTGGGTTCGGCACAAGGAGGCTCCTCCGAGCCTGACGTTCTCCTACCTGCTGTTGCTGTTAGGAGTTGTCTTCTGGGAGCTCAATGACGGAGGATCCCAGGCATGCAGTTTGACCTTCCAAAGCTTGACCTGCTGGTCCCAGGAGCGCCGGCTGTACTTCCGGAACTTATTGGGGGTTTTCGGGTGGATGCCTGGCTGCCGCAGGTGCCTGAAAGCAGACACGGTCCAGGTTTTACGGACAACTCTCTACGGTGAGGGCGCTCCGATCAGAGAGATTTTTAAGAGGTCGGCCATAACCACATAAAACAGAAAGCAGGAACTTTTGTATTCACGCTGATTTTGAAACATTATGATGGCTTAGTTCTAATGTTGACAAGATCCATAGACGACGACACCGTAACATCCCACAATTTACAACAGACGGGGGATTCAGACACCGGAACATGTAGCTGTTAGCAACAGGCTAACGCGTATCCTCCGGAGAGAACACGCCTGCAGGTTGGACGTATTTTAAGCTGGACAGTGGAGGTGGAGCAACAGCCTCTGTTGTGTGTGCACACTGGGTATTTAACATGCCGAGCTGTAGTCAACACGATGAATCTGAAACGCCACCCTAAAAGTAAACCCTGCTCAGTTCACTGCAGCTACTCGGACAAAAACACGAAGCAGGACTAGCTGGCGGGTGTGACCTGTGTTTGTGACCAGCAACAGGCACGGCCATCATTTATCACTGGAGCTGGTATGAGCTGTCACTATTTAAAGAGCAAGTCACCCCCAAATCACATTTTTTTTTGCTAATAAACTATATAAAGGAGTGTCTAATCATGCTACAGACACGTGTCGTCAATAATTTGGCAGTTCAGTGCATCTTGGTTAAAATTCAAATATTCTGTCTAAAACTGTCAGTGTTGCGCCGTCGTCTGAGAAAAATTGTGCACTGTATTAGAATTTAAACCTGCCAATGCTATTGGCTAAGAGGTATGATATGATGTCATCTGGTACATTATGATGTCATAATGCCATTGTGAGCCTGTGTGTGTGTATTTGTTAGCGGCTCCGCCCTCTCGGTCTGCCAAGCAACAGCATTTGTTGCATTTTTCAAACATGAAGAGGGAGTGAAGTAAGTTTCTTGTAGGGGGTGACTTGCTCTTTAACAAACATCTCTGCACAGTTTGTGCCCAGACCCGCCCGTTCAGTGGAGGGAATGCGCACCGATCAGTAAACGATTTGAACAGAGCCACGCGGCTACTTTAAAAAATACTTCAAGGGACGACTTGGATGGGTGATTTTTTTCTTATTTTAATGTTTTGCAGAAATATTGGATCAGGACTCAGCATCGGCAGATACTCTCAATCAAATGACTCGTGACTCAAAATTGTGATCAGAACATCCCTACTCTACACCTGGGTTCCGGTTTTGCTATCGGTTCTGGGTGTGACCTACTTTGGGACCTCCTTGATGTATCTGTCGTAGGCCAGCGTGTTCTTGCCGTAGCTGATCTGTTTCTGTCGTCGCAGCAGAACGGATTCATCAGTCTCCATGTTCTCACCCTCTCTGGAGTCACAGCTGCACAACAAACAGAACACACACCTTTACTCGCCTCCTCTCGTTGGCTGGAAGAACCTTCTACGAACAGGTGAGACTTCATGAGCTTATGGCTACTAGCAGGGTATGTGCAGGTTTAAGGGAGCCAATTTAAGACTTTTTAAGACCTTTTTTAAGGCCACTTTGACCAAATTTAAGCTATTTTTAAAATTAAATTTAAGCTATAATTTCCAGCTATTGCCTGGAACCGGTGCTAACCACGTCGTGAACGTGGGATTAACCATCCAGTTACCATTAAACTTGCACTTCCCCATGGCGCAAGCTCCCACTAGCTTAACCAGCTAATGTGCTCATCTAAAAATTGCCCCCTTTCCCAACCAACTGAATGTGTACGGTTCCGCTTACGCCAACATCGTACACAAAAAATGCTGAACACTAACTATAAATTCATGAAAATTTTTATAGAAATAAAATAATCTTGTTTATTGGGTCTTTGGTGATTTAAGACCTTTGGAAACTGGATTTAAGGATTATTTGTCATTTTTAAGGATTTTCAAGGCCGTAAATTTGGAAAAGCAAATTTAAGACTTTTTAAGGACCTGCGGATACCCTGACTAGAGACCACCTGGACTGCTGTTAAACAGAAGCATGGTGGTTACCTCCCAGAGGAGCCAGACGAGGCTCTCCTCTCCCTCTGAGTGACCTCTGGACCCAGTATCCTCCTCCTGTAACTGAAGAGTCGAGAACGTCAGCTCGGAGTTAACAGAAACCAGCTGGTGTTCAGCAGAAAGCTCGTCTTACCGCTGCATGTCTTTGTGCATGTCTCTCCTCATCTCCTCATCCTCCACCTGGCTGCCCCAGTCAGTCGGCCGACTACATCTCGACACTGGTCCAGAGCTCTCTGGGGTGGTGAAACTACAGAAGACACACACACACCATTAAACCAGTGGCACCAATCAGAGATTTCACAAGAGCTGTGTCAGGAGGACCTGCGCCATGATCATACCTGGCATGTCTGCACCAGTCATCACCATCTTCATCACTGTTATTCCGCAAACTTCCATCAACTCCTCTTTTCCTACTGTGGGACCACCGGGATGGGCCGCTGCTCCTGGTACAAATATAAAAGAAGGCTAGAATATTACTAGTCAGTAGCGTTTAAGGGGACATCTGATGTAAGCTGTTCTTTAAAGAGAGGTGCTGTTGATCAGTCGCAGGTTTCTGCTCCACTTCCTGTGGGCCTGCTGCAGAGCCCTTGTATCCAGAGCTCACAGCGTTGAGCGTTTCCATTCATAAAAATCAAAATGCTTATAGACCTGGGGACCGAAATGCGATTTCTTATAGTCGTAACGTCTGTGCAGCCACAGAGCTCCAGACTAAATGATATTTTGCTCTTACCTGTAAAAGAGTGGCCCAAGAGAGGCCTGAAACGGCTCATTCTGTAAGCTACTGCAAATGTCAAGAGACCAGGGCTAACTGCCAGAGGTGGAGCTGCAAGTGTCCTGCCCAAGGGCACAGCGGCAGATTGAGCAGGGCGCAAACCTGCAACTCTGCGGTTACAGGGTGACCACCCTGTCCCTAAAGTGGACAGCTGTCTCAAACAAGACACTGTCTCTGGATGAGGTCTAACAAAGACAAATGGTGCCCACTGTGATGAGTACTTACAAGCAGCTGGTGTGTTCTGACCCTACATGTCGATGGTTCTGACCCAAAGGCTGGTAGCTCTAATCCCTGGACCAACCGGTCCTGGTTCGGGTTGGTACGACCCTTGCCCAGCCAGAAACGATCAGAGAATTGATCTAATGAGGAATAAACATAAAGCTGATCGGAGCGGGACTGCAGCACAGTTTAAAATAATCTCCCGCCATTTACTTCCTACTTCCGGTCGATCCATTGTGTGTTGGCGCGCGGTGGCGCGGAATTTTGGGTGAGCCACTAAAGTCCGACCCGACAAGGTTTAAACATCTTCCACTCGGTCCCCGGTGGGACGAGCCCGGGAAGAACATAAGGGTAGATGACCGTCTCTCCTGGTCTAACCGGGCTGATCAGAACCGAGCCAGAAACGGTGACACGTACAGATGTAACCCCCGTTCAAATATGTCCCCATGCAGCGGACTCTGGACTTTATTAAGTACACGTCCCGAGATTTTTATTCTTCAGAGACTTAATGTGACCACTCCAGAAGGAGAAATAATTCAAATCCACCCCGATTAGCTGAGGGGGGAAACGGCTTTCAACATGGAACAAAAGAGAGTGAGAACCCACAGAAAGCGAGAGGAGACAGCTCAAAGGTAACACTGACAACCAAACAGCCTCTGTCAGCAAAACGTTAGTCGTCTGACCAGTGAAACCAGGTGTTGCGTCGATGTGTTCCTCCTCGAGATGTTTCTTTTGCACCCAGCGGCGAGTGAGAACCATCCACTCGCAAAAAATGTGTCCTAAGCTACCCTAACCCTGAAACCAACATAAAAATTGTGCTACACGTAATATTTTCAAAAATTATATTTACGCAAACCATACATTTTTGGTGCCAGAGTGGTTATGGTTAGTGTTATTTCTTGTTATTGCGTCGTTTCCACTTGCAGCTGGGTGCAAAAGAAACTGATCGAGGGGGGAACACATATCGACGGCAGCAGGGAAAGCTAAACGCACTTACCTGCACTCCTCTTCTCCCACACGAGCTTCGCTCCGCTTCATCTTGTTCTTGTGAGACATCTTTTAGGGGTAAATGAACCAAACGCGACTCTGTTGGCTCACCTAAATCCGTGAATGTTGACGGTAGCGACAGAAAACCGCCAACTGAGACAGAAAGCGCGACCACAAACAAGCCAGCCAGTCACGTGACTCCTCCTCCTTCTTCTTTTCCCGGTTCTTCTTCCCGAACCCTACCGCCACCTTCTGGAATGAGCTGGTGGTGCAGCTCTTTATTTTTGACCAAAACTTGGATCAAAAACAGAATAAAAAGAGTAAAAATGCTCATAAAAAGAATAGAAGCGATGCTAAGAAATAAATGCCTAACATGAGAATTTCATTTTTGATGTTTTCATTTTTACATGTTATATAACAGTTTCTCAATGAGTATTTACAGTAAAAATAGATGATCGGGTGGATCTGACAGTGCGCGCAGGAATTGGAAATTGTGTCAAATGTGTGAATCAAAAAATCACGACATGGGTGAATGTCATTACAAGTGGAGTGGAACAGAAAGGGACTCCGTTTTGACAGTTTTTATGAATGTAAGCATATTCTTTAAACAAATACCTTCTTCTTAAAACTGGGAAACATAATGAAGTCAGTGTTCGTCATGAATTTAGTACATACCTGCACCCACTGAACTTACACCCCAAGGCCCTGTGTGTGTGTGTGTGTGTGTGTGTGTGTGTGTGTGTGTGTGTGTGTGTGTGTGTGTGTGTGTGTGTGTGTGTGTGTGTGTGTGTGTGTGTGTGTGTGTGTGTGTGTGTGTGTGTGTGTGTGTGTGTGTGTGTGTGTGTGTGTGTGTGGGTGGGTGTGTGTGTGGGTGTGTGTGGGGTGATGTGATGTGATGGAGCAGGCAGAGGGAAATGTCTGAGGATGGGGAGGAAAGACTGGGGAGCCTGAGCCCTGCCCTGTCCTCCGCTGGCCCCACAAGGCACCCCATTCCCAAAGCCCACCTGGGGCCAGGAGACCCCAGCCCATCTAGCCAGGGCCCACAAAAGCTGCATCACAGAGCCCCACGGAGCCCCAGGTCCCAACTCAGCTCCACCCCCGCCTTTGATCAACTTCCAGACTACATAAAACATCAGAAACCCAGGCACAGTTGGATCCTTCCCCTCTCAGAGATCCCCTCCCCCACGATGGAGTAGAAGTGTTCCTGCTAGTTAAGGAGATACCATGTCCCAAGGGCCCCGGGCCAGGGCCAGACACTGCCACATGCACTCGCCCAGCCCGGTCCCCCATCCAGGTACGATCATCCCCAGGACCCAAGCCACCAGACCCTCATCCAGACCTACCCAGGAGAGACACGACTATCAGGCAGTGATGAAGTGCTCTCCAATCAACTCTTCCCTGTGAAGATAAGATCTTGGAAGGTTGAAGTTGGTTCCAATCAAGCTACAGACTAAATCAGGGACCAAAAACCAACAGAAATTTAACTGTTCTGACCCTAACCCCAACCCTAGCACAGAGTCTCCATATTTGGACTGAACCTGGTCGAGTTTATTTAGGTGAATGACTTTAAGGCTAAATTATAAGTTTCGAATATTTAATTGTCTAAGGACAGAACCATTCAGATGCTTGTGAGAGAAGGAAGGTGATGTTTAAAAACAGGTTTGATCCCTAAGGCCTTGTTCCCTGAGCAAACTCCACATTAAACCTCTATTTAAAAATCATTACGCTAATCATGTCAGTCCCTAATATAGAAACGGGTCATTCACGTGTGAAAGTGAGTCACTGAAGCCAAGCTCCCTGAAACAAAGACTTTTTCTGCCAACCCTCGGAATTATGGATTTAAAGGTTTTTCTATCGTCTCTCCCACACAACAGTCTGCAGTTTCTCACCAGTGTTATAAAAATGGTTTTTGACCTATTATAAAATACCCATTTCTTTTTTATGCAAGAGCAATTTATTTTAAATTCAGGTAAAAACTGTCTTTACTTCTGTAAAAACATCCGTTACTGTCAAACATCCTTTCATTTGTCTCGTTCTGACTTCGCTCTGCTTTCCCCTTTCTGATCATTTTAACACAACTCAGCCCACTTTTCTAACGTTTCCATAGCAACCAGGACGTGAGGATGAATGTATCTTCTTACTGTGTCAGGATGGACAGTCCTGACTTCTGCAGTCACTCTGATAGACAACCCTGCTCATCAGTGGTCTGCAGTACTGGTTATTGTTGTTTCATTACTGAATTCCCTAAAGTTACTAATGATAAAGTGTAATATTGATCTTTTACGTTACACAAGTTTGAGAATTATGGTGGTTACAAAAAGTAAAATGGTATGATTAGACTAAACCAGTCATTTAGGCGGCTCGCAGACCGGACCTTCAACTCATGGAAAAGTTGTGTTGTATTTGAGTACCTTTGCACCAAACTAATCAAAGACACAAGAGGCGTCAATAATTCCCTTTGGAAGCATCTGTACAACTTAACCAGTAGAACAAATTAAAAGAGTGCTGTAATGGCAAACAACCTGAAGTCTTACTTTATGTAATCAGTAGGAATTGACTAGCGACTGTGAGGTAGTTGAGGTAGTATCCAGCTCATTCAGCTCCCTCCAGTTGATTGGGTCTACATGATTGGTCACAGTTGCACAAATCATAGAAAAAGTCAAATTTAGAAGATGCCTATAACACCTATTGTTTTTTTAAAAGCGAGGGTCTTCAACTAGGGCTGGAGTTTTTCCCAGCAGACACCGTGAGGGCCAGATGCTCTTCTAAAATAAAGTTCAAGTATTATTGTACCATAATTTATTAATATTTAAAACGGCTTTGTTTTCCATCTAAACAATTTTGTTTGTAATTTAAATGTGTATGAAGAATGTAAGCAATTACTGACATTTGGGACATGAATTTTGCCACTAAACTTCAGTCCCTCACAAATTAATAGCTACAGTTCATCTTAACATCTAATTCTTAGTTTTCCTAATCCAGAGCTCTAAAACCACTTTTGTTTGTAGTTTTGTATCTTCCACCAGGCTCTTACTCTCAGATTTGGTGCTAAATACTGATAAGGTCATTGTAGTGGGAGATTTTAACATTCATGTGGACATTGAAAATGATTGCCTCAATGTAGCCTTTAGTAATATCTTAGACTCTATTGGTTTTACCCAATGAATACACAGCTCCTCTCACTCCTGCCATCATACATTAGACCTTGTGCTGACTTATGGCATTGAGTGTGAGGAAATAACAATTTTTCCACATAATCCAGTCCTCTCGGACCACTTTCTGATAACCTTTGAGTTTTTATAACTGAGTTCTCGAGACATGAAAGTAAATTTCACTATAGTCGGTCTCTATCTGACAACACTGTTGCATCTTTTAAATCAAATGTTCCATCTTTACTGTCCTCAGCATCTCAGAGGAACGTAGCAGAGGGCAATATTTTCATTTCTTGCCCTTCATGAATTGATGGTTTAGTTCATAGTGTTACTTCTTCTTTATGTGTGGCATTAGATGATGTTGCCCCTTTAAAAAAGAAGGTAATTAAGCACAGGAAGCTGGCTCCCTGGTTTAATTCTGATCTATGAAGTTTAGAACAGAACTCTAGAAAATTGGAGAGAACATGGCGCTCTACGCACCATGAGGAGTCCTACTTATGCTTGAAAAATAGTGCCCTCATCATCAAAGGATTTTTTTAATGTGACACTTGGCCACTTATATTTGAGTACCCCTGCTCTAGAATTACTTGTGGAGTACCACAGGGTTCAGCGCCTGGACCAGTTCTGGTCAGGTTTGGACGAGTGGGGGAGTAGAGGGAGGTAGAGTGTACAGTGGAGAATACCGTTGGTAAAGACAGTTCTCCAAGGCCCTGTCTCCCATCTGAAAGGCTAGGTTATCCCGAGTTATCTCTGTAGTTATGCTGCTATAGAGAGCCTTAGTTGCACCCATCTAATTCTGGACCAAGGGTCCCCGGAAAAACTAAAAAAAAAAAAATGAATGCAAGTCAATGGGGCTAAAAACGCTATTTTCTAATTCTGCTTGTTTTGTGCCATGGATTTCACATACTATGATGTCCATGAATTTTATAGACACACTTTGACACCAAGAAAGTACTTATTTTCAAACAGGGGGAAATACTATTTTAGGTTTTGTATGAAAATAAGTCCAGGACTACAATGCGCTTCACGAAAGGGATGTCATCGAACCAGACACAGAGAAAACTGAGGGAAAATGGCTGCAAGTTCAGCAAACTTCCCACAGGAGGAAAGAACCACCATAAATCTGGTCATGTGGTAAGCAGCAGCTACGCTAGGGGAGAGGAGATTATGAGTGTGTTTACATGCAGCTAGTAACCCTTTTAAAATCCGAATATTCACAATAACCCGGTTCCGCAGGTCCGTGTAAACACCGCCAGAAACCCGGATATGCTCATAACCGGGTTTTTGAAAACCCGGTTACTACACCTGGGGTAACCCTTTTCTAACCCGAATGTTTGGTCGTGTAAACGCATACCGGGACATCCCCATCAAAGCGTGTGTTCTGCGCATGCTCTGTTCGCAAGGAATCTTGGTCTTTTGAGTAGCGAGACGTCTTGTATGCGCCAGAACACCGGAAGTAAACAACAAGTTGGGAGCAACATGGCGAGTCGCGGCACAGCACCACACTTTTGGAGTGACGAGGAAACTAAAGCGCAAACAAACGCGGTCGCTATCTCTTCCGAACTGGGAAAAATGTTGTTGTTTTCACAGATACCGGAACAAGAAGACCCGGAAATGACGCATATTGCATCTGGACGTAATCCACATGTCCTGACGCTACCCCAACGTCCGCATTTAAATCAGGCTATGCAAGTTAGAGGTAACTCTTTCTATTTATTGTTAACGGGCTTGTAAACGGGTTAGTCTGATCAACTCAGAAACCCGAATACCGACCTTACCGCGATCATAACCCGGATATTGGCTGCATGTAAACGTAGTCACTGAAGTGCACTCCTGTGTATGTTAATTTTATACAACTTGCTCATGACAGCCCACATGCAAATGACAGCACTTTTGTTAATATTAGCATTTTACTTAAAAGCTACAGTTCACATATTATTAGGTTAATGTTTTAACAACCGTTAGCATTTTACCATATACCCTGCTGGTAGCACACTAGATGGAGTAAGGTAATGTTAAGAAACATGGTAGTCAGTGATCCACAACCAGCTTATTGGCTCAAAATACCTTTTC